GCAATTTACATGCATATTCTGCATGTTTGCAGTACATGGAAGACACGGGACGGTCGAACATGCGTCAAGAATTTTGGAGTTTTAGGGGTTTCAGGACTAAATCAATAGGGTTAGAATGCCCGTCGGGGATTTTCCCACGGTATTCACCACGATAATGACATGTAGGTTAAACAGGATGGTAACCTCCAAAAAACGGCATTATACAACAGATGAAATTGCATTTTTCTTATATTCTGTCAGTTTTTATTGATCATGTTTGTTTTGCTGATCGTGAGCATTTTTTTTGGCGAATACCTGCATATTCTGCATATTTATTTACAATACGATATTGCATTTTTTCTGCATATTATGACATGGTTTATTGTTCATGGAAAGATTTGTTTGCAGTTTACATACATACTCTGCATATTTGCAGTACATGGAAGACACGGGACGGTCGAAAATGCGTCAATAATTTTGGAGTTTTAGGGGTTTCAGGACTAAATAAATAGGTTTAGAATGCCGGTTGGGGATTTTCCCACGATATTCCCCACGATAATGACATGTAGGTTAAACAGGATGGTAACCTCCAAAAACGGCAATATACACAGACAATATTGCATTTTTTCTTATAGAGCATGTTTTTTTTGGCAAATACCTGTATATTCTGCATATTTAAATTAACAATGCGATGTTGCATTTTTCTGCATATCATGACATTGTTTATTGTTCATGGAAAGATTTGTTTGCAATTTACATGCATATTCTGCATGTTTGCAGTACATGGAAGACACGGGACGGTCGAAAATGCGTCAATAATTTTGTAGTTTTAGGGGTTTCAAGACTCAATAAGTAGGGTTAGAATGCCCGTCGGGGATTTTCCCACGGTATTCCCCACGATAGTGACATGTTGATTAAACAGGATGGTAACCTCCAAAAACGGCAATATACACAGACGATATTGCATTTTTTATATTCTGTCATGTTTTTTTGATCACGGTTTTTCTTTTGCTGATCATGAGCATGTTTTTTTTGCAAATACCTGTATATTCTGCATATTTAAATTAACAATGCGATGTTGCATTTTTCTGCATATCATGGACATTGTTTATTGTTCATGGAAAGATTTGTTTGCAATTTACATGCATATTCTGCATATTTGCAGTACATGGAAGACACGGGACGGTCGAAAATTCGTCAAACATTTTGGAGTTTTAGGGGTTTCAGGACTAAATAAGTAGGGTTAGAATGCCCATCGGGGATTTTCCGACGGTATTCCCGCACGATAATGACATGTAGGTTAAACAGGATGGTAACCTCCAAAAAACGGCATTATACAACAGATGAAATTGCATTTTTCTTATATTCTGTCAGTTTTTATTGATCATGTTTGTTTTGCTGATCGTGAGCATTTTTTTTTGCAAATACCTGTATATTCTGCATATTTAACTTAACAATACGATGTTGCATTTTTTCTGCATATCATGACATTGTTTATTGTTCATGGAAAGATTTGTTTGCAATTTACATGCATATTCTGCATATTTGCAGTACATGGAAGACACGGGACGGTCGAAAATGCGTCAAGAATTTTGTAGTTTTAGGATGTTTTAGGGGTTTCAGGACTAAATTAATAGGGTTAGAATGCCCGTCGGGGATTTTCCCACGGTATTCCCCACGATAATGACATGTAGGTTAAACAGGATGGTAACCTCCAAAAATTGCATTATACACAAACGATATTGCATTTGTTCTAATACTCTGTTAGTTTTTATTGATCATATTTGTTTTGCTGATCATGAGCATGTTTTTTGGGTGAATACCTGCATATTCCGCATATGTATATTTACAATACGATGTTGCATTTTTTCTGCAAATCATGACATTGTTTATTGTTCATGGAAAGATCTGTTTGCAATTTACATGCATATGCTGCAAATTTGCAGTACCATATACAGTACATGGAAGACACGGGACGGTCGAAAATGCGTCAAGAATTTTGTAGTTTTAGGATGTTTTAGCTGTTTCAGGACTAAATTAATAGGGTTAGAATGCCCGTCGGGGATTTTCCCACGATATCCCCGACGATAATGAAACGTTGATAAACAGGATGGTAACCTCCGAAAACGGCATTATACACACACATATATATGCGCTGTATATATTACATATGTGTACATGTATTGTTCACACGTATTAGATGTGAGTAAACGAGGTGTTCTTGGGTCGGCGGATGACGATATTGCATTTTTTCTGCATATTCTGTCAATTTTAGTGGTCATTTACTTTTTTGCTGATCATGAGCATGTTGAATGGACGAATACCTGCATATTCTACTTACTACTTTATAACACGATATTGCATTTTTTCTGCATAGTATGACATTGTTCATGTTTTTTTTTGCATTTTACATGCAGTACCATTCACATGGAAGACACGGGACAGTCGAAAATGCGTCAAACATTTTGGAGTTTTAGGGGTTTCAGGACTAAATACACAGGGTTAGAATTGGAATGCCATCCCGGTTTTTTTAAGGTGTTTCAGGACTAAATAAATAGGGTTAGAATGCGCGTCGGGGATTTTCCCACGATATTCCCCACAATAATGAAATGTTGATTAAATAGGATGGTAACCTCTGAAAACGGCATTATACACACATATACGCGCTGTATATATTACATATATGTACATGATTGTACATGTACATACATATTATATGTGAGTAAACGAGGTGTTCTTGGATCGGCGGATGACGGTATTGCATTTTTTCTGCATATTACGACAGTTTTGATTGATTTTGGGTAGATTCATTACTTTTCATTGGTTTTCCATTATATTGATGATGTTTTTCATTATTTTTTATTGTTTCTTTTAATTACATGGTAGAACCGAAAATTATAATGCCACCCTGGTGGAAAGACATGGATTAAAAAAAAAAAAAACAGGCGTACCGCGTGAGAAATCCAGGAGGCATTCTAACCTTATTTATTTTGTCCTGAAACCTCTTTAAAAAAATCCGGGACGGCATTCAGTGATTTTTCAGTAGTTTGAAGATGTTTTCTTTATTTTTCAGTGATTTTACATTATTTTCAAGACGTTGTTCATTACTTCTCATGGACTTTTCATCATTTTCAAGATGTGCTTCGTTCTTTTTCATTGATTTTTCAATGTGTTTGCATGTTTTTCATTATTTTTCATTGATTGTTTAGTGTTTTTCCTCATGATTTTTTATTATGTGTTGGGTAGATTTTTGCAATTTACATGCATATTCTGCATATTTGCAGTACCATATACATGGAAGACACGGGGACGGTCGAAAATTCGTCAAACATTTTCGAGTTTTAGGGGTTTCAGGACTAAATAAATAGGATTTGAATGCCTTCAGGACTAAATGGGTTAAAATGCCTCCTGGATTTCTCACGCGGCACGCGGGTCTTTTCTTGAAATCCACATCTTTCCACCAAAGCGGCATTTTTTAAAATTATGTTTCATTGATTTTTCATTATGTTCATTGTTTTTTCATTATTTTCAAGATGTTTTTCATTATTTTTCATTGATCTTTCATTATTTTGAAGATGGTGTTCATTATGTTCATTTGTTTTTCATTATTTGACGATGTTTTTCATTGATTCTTTAACTATGTGTCATTGGTGTTTCATTATTTTGAAGATGTTGTTCATTATTTTTCAATGATTTTTCATTATTTTCAAGATGTTTTTAATTATTTTTCATTGATTGTTCAATGTGTTTACATGTTTTTCATCATGTTTCACTGATTTTTCAATGTTTTAAAGATGTGTTTCATTATTTTTCATTGTATTGTTGGGTAGAGTCTTGCAATTTACATGCATATTCTGCATATTTGTAGTACATGGAAGACACGGGACGGTCGAAAATTCGAAATTTTGGAGTTTTGGGGTCTTCAGGACTACATAAATAGGGTTAGAATGCCGTCCCGGATTTGTTTAGAGGTATTTCAGGACTAAATAAATAGGGTTAGAATGCCTCCCGAATTTCTCACGCGGTACGCGGGTGTTTTTTTTGACGTCCACATCTTTCCACCAAAACGTCATTCTAAGTTTCAGTCCGTCGGTATATCTGTCTAAATATCTCTCCATGTCCATATATAATGATCGATTCAATACATGTAACAAAAGACATACTGCAGTATATAATGATATATATATATATACACATACAGTATATATGTATATAGTGGATATTGGCACAATTCTTGGTGGTTTCGGCCGAAAAATATCTCAATTCATTTTCTTCCCTGCAGGCCGACCACTGCGGGTGAAGAGCTAGGACCTCAACTGTTGCAATGGACTTGCTCAGCTGGGCACGGGAAGAAAGTATGGTTTTATCATGTGGGTTTCTTAAAAATTGGGGTGGCTACCATGTCAAATGATAACACAAGATAAGCATTTATCTATGTTTATTGGGTTTATGTATGACAATGTATGAACATGAATGGGATGGCTGCCTGCCAATCAGTTCACATAGATATGGAAAACCCACGATTTAACGATTGTTTTCCTAATGAACCCCATGGATTTACGTATCGATATTACCGGAGGGTGACAACAAGAATATACGGTGGTTAAACAGCAATGAATTGGCATTTAAACTGCAGTTGCTGGGAATTCACCAACAAATTTGACGCTTGGTCATCTTTTTTTTGATTTATAAATGGAAATTTGAAGGTATACTATGCCCAAATTCAGGAGACGGCCAGGTTGCAACGTTTTATTTTTGCAGAAGTCCATTCTCCGTTACTTATGATAAAATATCAAGTTGGACTGGACCATCAGGAAAACTGAGAATTTCAAATGGTTCCGGGGCAATTTCATGTATGCTGTTTTTTTCTTCCGCAGACACCTATAGGACCTATAGATGGTTTGTTCCTGAAATTGGTTTTGTTGCCTGGCTGCCACAATGACATACACTATTCTCATTGGACACAGCCAGCTTGATTTGAATTTCGGAACCACCTTTGCAGGTGAAACAACCTCAGCCTGATGCATTTTCAAGACAACATTGGCGGCGTTGTCTCTGCTCGTTGCAAGAAAATTCTAAGGCCTTATCACACCAGCCGTTTAAGAACCCCAAGGATTCCAAAATTCAATTCCTGTGTAATTTCCATGTGTTTTACCAGTCAGATCAGTATTTTTTGATCATTTTTCCAGATTTCTCCTGCTGTAAGTGACATATTCACGCCCGGAAGGGGACCTAGGTCCGCCGGCACCTCGCGGCAATCCGCCAAGTCCTCCTGGCGTGAAGAGTGGACGCCAGGGAAGGCTTGGTGATGACGCCAGGGGGGCCCACCATGCCAAAGAAACACCCTACCCAACGAAAATGGGTCATGTGGGGATGTGATAGGATCTCAGGAGTTATCATGGGATATGACCCTTTCAGGTGTAAAGACCAACCATCATATATCTTAGGAAACCTTGGATGGGTACTTTCGTGAATGTTTCACAAGATGTTGCATTTGATGTTTCTGAGGGCATCCAAGATTGCCCCTGTCATTGATTTTATGTGACTGACATGCTGGATGATCATGGCCATACACTTTGATTTTTGTCATGCTTCGGACTGAGATGGATTAAAGGTGAAACCTCAGGAGGGTTGCTCCAACCTGTTGAATCGGTGAACCGTAAGCCCTTGTAGGCGTATCCTATACTGTAATCATTACCTCCGGCAATCAATATAATAGAGGAAATCACCATTTACAGATGATTTTGTCCAGCTATAGAAACCCTTATTGATAGAAGATGTTTCCATATTTTCCCTTAATTTTGCCATGACTTTTCCAGCTATGGAAACAATTCATTGAGTTCGGGGATGTCCCACGTGTGGAGCGCTCGTGCTCGCAGGCGCCGGAGCTTGTGGGCCAAGCGCCGGATCAGCCAGCGCCGCCGCCAGCGCCGCCGCCAGCGCCTTGTGAGGCCACAACGGTGCCTCAACTGTTGGAGTTTAACTGTTTTACATTGTTTTACTGTATGCATAGTAGCTTTCTGATCTTACTGATCTCCATCAAAAATGGGAGGTCAAGTGTATCGAATTGGAGGGTTTTTGCTTTGGTTTACTATACCTCATACCATGTTTGAAGTGCTTGTTCACCTTTAATAGATGATCCTTTATTTGACTGGGGAACCTCCCCCCAGAGCGGCTGGTTGACGAACCCCGGGGTACTTCCCTGATTCTCATGTTTTTTTCAGAAGCTGTTTGATTGATGATAAACAATGGCTTGGCGTCTTGGCTGAATTCTAATGACCTCACAACGTCACCCTAGACTAAGGTAGGGGGAATCATCCAAACATGACCCAACATGTGAGGCTTGTGAATTACCATCTGGTAAACTAACATAACTATGGAAAATCACCATGCTATTATATAATGGGTAGATCCATTAGAAATTATTTCTATGGCCATTTTCAATACTGTAGCTATCCAGGACCTTGATGATCTAAGGTGCCGGACCCCAACTTTGCCTTAGCCTTGAAACGAGCCAGCGAAAGTGCGCCACCCAGTGCCGCTGACCATTGACCCACTGAATCATTTTTTTGGGGGGGTAAAATGGGAGAACCATTTTAGATACTTAGCGGTGCATCTGCATTTTCATACATGATGGTAAACGAATTGATATGAATTGATTGAAATTACTCATGTGAAGGCTTCCTCTCAGGTGCCAATGCAAAGTCGGCCACGGTGCCGGCCCTGGGCCATCGGCGCTGGAGCAAAGGCTCCAGTAGTGAGGCTGGGTGAGGATTGTGGAATGGTGGTATGCTGCTGTCCATCAATGGTGGATACTCAAAGATAGTGATTTACGAAATGAATTTCATATCATATGTTTTAATATGTTGTATTAATTTCAACCGGTGCATATTTCCCCGAATACATGTACATACCATGTACCTACACCCTCCAAGTACCCAAAGAAATGTCTGTATATTACAGTTCACCAAACAAACAAATATCAAAAATGGAGGTTTGAAAAAGACGCAATTGGATTGCAGCAAGAGGAACCTATTTTCTTAAACAGCAAAACTGAAATGTAAGCAACCAAAACCAAGAGTGTGAATCCACTGCACCAAACCTGGGGATCTCACCAAGACACGCGCATATTATGTTCGTATAAATATATACTGTATATATATATATATATATATATATAGTGTCCCCTGGGAAGATATAAAAGTTACAACCTGAAAAGCGACGTTTTTTTTTTCAGGTTTGCAAACGTGTCTATTTTTAGTATCGCACTGGTATTTACAGGATTTCCTTAATTTCGATGATTTTAAGTGCATAATTCCCTGTAAATTTACAGCCTATACTAAAGATAGAAAAGTTTCAGGGCATAAAAATGATCCAATTACGATTTTTCCCACATATGCAGACGATGCTAAAGTTAGAAAAGCTTGGAAAATTGGAAAAGCTCAAACCCTGCAAATAGCGCTCTTTTCCCATTTCGCAACCTTGACTAGAAACAACGCAACCAAAGAAATACCAAAAAAAGGAAAAGGAGAGCCAGCATCCACCCCTTGAAACCTTTACAAAAGGATGCCTTTGAAGGAACAGCTGACAAAAGAACTGCAAAACAGGAACTCAGGACCAAGATCCAACGAACAAAATAGTTTTTGTTCAATACACCCCACGTCAAGGTTTTAAGGTTTTCATGTTTGCTGCTCATGTTTTGTATCTTTCAAGCTATTTGCATGGTTTAAAACAGACATGCTGGGTCAACAATTGCATTTGTTGCTTTTCTATCTTCAGTACCCCCGACCTATTTGCCTTGTTTGTTGCATCCTCGGGTGCAATTTTCCTTCTATCTCTAGTATCCCCACCTATTTGCATGTTTTACCACCCAAACTGGGTCAGAACCTGCATGTAGCTGCACACATTACTGTTCAATTCTCGGGGCCCCACCAACCATTTACATGGCTTCTGACTTCAATTTGAATAGATTTTGCAGAGAATTCACAGGCTTGAAAAAATGGCAAGAGCAACCAAAAAACGAAAAAGGAGAGCCAGCATCCAGCCCTGATCCCACGCTTAAAACTTGTTAAAATAAAGAGGTTTTGAAGGAACAGCACGCAACAGAACTCCAAGGCAGGAACCCAGGACCAAGATCCAACGAAACAAATGGCATTTGTTCAATGGGCAAGAACCTGATGATTTCCACCTAATTTGCCAATATCCTTAAACTATTTGTAGATTTGGCATGTATCAATTGTGGGGTCAAGTTTTTCATTTGGGTTTTTCTATCTTCAGTATCCCCCAGCTATATGTGGATTCGGCATGCTTTCTGGAATCTCCCATGTTTGCATGTTTTTTATTCCGAAATTTCTCCCAGAAATTTGGTTCATTGTTTCCCGTCGGTTTTCAGGACGTAACAGCCTTTTTTTCCTACCTTCTTGGGAGGCACTAGTTTTTTTTATTAAAGAAACAAATTACTTTACTTCGAGTGATCCCCACCCTGGCATTTCAAGTCATTTATTCTGACATATATTTTGGCATTTTACTTAACATTCTATCTGACATCTATTCTGATATTCTATCTGGCAGTCTATCTGGCATATATTCTGGCAGTCTTTCTGGCATATATTCTGGCAGTCCATCTGGCCGCTGAGGTCCAGCGGTGCCCACTGGACTCTGGTTGAGGTCCAGTGGTGCCCACTGCGTTGCGGTTGAGGTCCAGCCGTGCCCACTCAGATCGGAAGCCGGCAGTTGAGGTCCAGCAGTGCCCACTGCGCGCGGAAGTTGGCGAAGAGATTGGCGAAGAGTTGGCAAGGCGGAAGTGGACGTGGAAGTGGAGGCAGAGGTGGTGGAGGAGAAGGAGGAGGACGAGGAGGAGGTGGAGGAGAAGGAGGAGGAGGAGAAGAAGAAGAAGGAGGAGGAGCCGGAACAGCTGTGATAAAATCTAACAACCCTCACCTGGCAGGTGGGGAAACATAAGGACGTTTCAGAAAAGTTAGTCTTTTCAGATTTTGGTTCTTTGGTTTCCCGGGAGAGTTTGGCTGGATGAACCCTGAAGCGATTGTCTTCACGAATTTGCACCACAACCTAGATTTTATGATTTTGGAAGAAACCAACACAAAACCAGGAAACGACCGAACACCAGAACAGAATTTGTGGCCCAGGAATTCGTACCTATGTAACCTACAAAGTGGATCAAAGTGGTATTACTTATGTGGGATCTGACATATCGAATTGTGCTGCAACTTGAACTCAATTCAAATCAGAGAGTGTCCAGCAAATTGGTGTATTTTTCGCCACCTCCCATGGACAGCGGTCTTGGGTCAGTCCTGCGCCTGCTATACCCTATAATCCCTTCCTCCTAATACTAAACGTCCCCCTAATACTAAAAACAGGCATCCATCTCCAATTTCCGAAAATTTCAGTTTGGCCAATTTGACTTTTAATTGATCCCCTTTAAAAAACAATTTAAAAATCAACCTACCATTTGTGGGTTCTCCCCCCTAATACTAAAAACTAGTTCACCCCGGGGTGTTTAGTATTAGGGGGGCCTAGTCCCAATCCCTCACTCCAAGCTGCCTAGCTACTCTAGCAATTAGGGGTAAGCTTCTAACTGCCATTTTTGGCAATATTTTAATTGCGTTATATAAGGAAATTTAATTGATTTTGAGATCGGAAAAAATAGTTTTTAGTATTAAGGGTTTTAATTTAGTATTAGGGGTAAGCTTCGAACTGCCATTTTTGGCAATATTTTAATTGCGTTATATAAGGAAATTTAATTGATTTTGAGATCGGAAAAAATAGTTTTTAGTATTAAGGGTTTTAATTTAGTATTAGGGGTAAGCTTCGAACTGCCATTTTTGGCAATATTTTAATTGCGTTATATAAGGAAATTTAATTGATTTTGAGATCGGAAAAAATAGTTTTTAGTATTAAGGGTTTTAATTTAGTATTAGGGGTAAGCTTCGAACTGCCATTTTTGGCAATATTTTAATTGCGTTATATAAGGAAATTTAATTAATTAATTAACATGACTTCGATTTGGTTCCCTAATAATAAATACCCCCCTAATACTAAAAACTACCTGCCGTGTTTTGTATTAGGGGGGGGGGTTTAGTATTAGGAGGAAGGGATTATACCCCTTTTGGTATATTATCTAAGACATACAATATCAAGGCTATCGCAGGGAACGAGAGTGGAGAGCTCTTCCAGGAAGAGCTCGCCGCCCCCCAAGACCTCAACAATTCACCGCCCCACTAGCCTTAATAGCTTGCCGCCCCTCTCCAATTTTCAGGAGCACATAGTTTGGGATTTTTTATCCAACGCGAGACAGCTAAAAAGTGCCGTTACTGGAAATGTATATAGATTTGTTCCAAGGTGAGGGCTGAAACTCATGGCTTTGTGGTCGAAGGGTCCGAAACTTGCGGAAAACGCGCACCAAAAGGCTCACAAACTTGCACAAGGACCCCTTCACAGGTTTACTGACGATGCATTGTAACGATTCAATCATGCTCTGATGGTAGTGATTATGGTGATGATACAGTAGACATTCATTGAATAATAAGCAACTTTCATAGATACTTGGAATCTTGAGCATTCACCCAAAGAACGTCAAAGAACCAACATCTGAAAAGATTAATTTTTATCAAACTTCCTTTTTTGTATATATATAGTACCAATGGGCCAAAAGAAGGACATACATTTATTTGCAAGAAACAAACATGGCGAGCTACACGCAACTGCCGGAGCAAACTGACATGGCATGGCGATGAGGGACATTTTGTTTGATTGTTTGCTTTCCTAATCACATGTTCCAAACAAATCCACAACTTTCGCCAATTTCAGTTGAAATGCGACAGTCCGGCCAGCAGGAAACAGCAACAACAATGGCACAGCATGGAATCATATGATCCTAATATCTCAGCAGTGTCCCAATTCAGCGTCGGACAGGAGCTGCCTGCAAGTGCGGATCCAAGGGGCCGGTGGTATGGGTAGAAACGTAGTGAGTTCACTAAGAATAATAAGGAGATTTCGCCAGCAATCACAGGGTGAAAACGCCACCAAGCAGTTGGGTACCCCCATGTTGGGGCCGCTAGTTGTACTGGAACTCCATGTTACTTTGGACTTTACATTCCTATGACTGGAGTAAGTTTGATAGAGTATGGTTTCATGATCCCAATCGAGGTGCACCAGTTCTGGGAAGGTGCATGTTAGTGCTGTTGTGTTGTTGTTCCGATTGTGACACACACACACGTATATATATATATATATAGTGACAGTATAGAGTTTATTGGATTACCACCATGAAACCATGATATTCACCGGTTTCCATTCCCTACTTTTGTTGGTTAACCCCCTTAACACCCCGTTTCTGAACGGGGGTTCTGTTCCAGAGGTGATGCAGCTGCTTCCGCCAGCGCAGTGCTTCCCGCGCAACGTGAAGGTTCCAAAGAGGCGGCCATGGGGAAACTTACACGGGAATCTATAGATAGTTACTGCAGTTATTCCCATAGATTTTAATATCAAGAAATATGGGATTACAGTATTATAGAACATATCTCTGGGAATCTATATGAATATGGGGAACCTATAGATTTTTTTAATATAGAATATAATGAATACGATAGATTCTATTTCCCGTCCTAAGTTTTTGGGGAATCCATAGATTCTATATTTGGGAAAAATGCTTCTCATGTACTGGTGACTATTGTCAGTTTTTTTTTGGCTGCCACATTCCAAATTTCGTTTTTTTTTCTAAACGATATATAATGCTTTAACCCCTGCAAAGTTAGGTAAAAGTTTGCTTATATAGTTTAATGATATTCAATGATTCAAGCGTATATCCACCATAGGCCATAGGTTCTATATATAGTTATTGTAGTTCCAAGACATTTTTTTGCTGGTCCCTCCGTTGGATTCTTCATACTCAAATCACCCAGTTGCGTTGGGTCAGGCGGGTCTTCAACGTGGTTTTTCTGACCTGGCTTTGTCCTTCGCCAGTCTCGATGAAACTCTGTAGCTGCAGCCCAGGATGGTTGATAATAGTCTGATAGTAGATTCAGAATCAGGATTTGGTCATATTTGGTCAGGTTCCCTGAAATACAAGAAGACTTCAAAAGGCCAGAAGTGTCAATCCAACAGGCACCAAAGTTGGAATTGAGAGGCTCAGATCTGAAAGAGAAGTAAGTTTGCAGATGCTACGACCCTTCTCAAGTGGTGCATGAAGATCGTTTCACCTGAATGCCGAGTTGTTTCACCAACTGCTCAGCACATTTGTGCCTGTGGCAAAAGAAAAGGTGCTGCTACCAGCAACGTTTGTGCTGGTGCTGATTCGGTTTAGCTATCAGGTGAATTTCTAAAGGGCCACCCCAAAAAAAGGAACAAACAAAATATCTTGCTCTCTGTATCCAAGTACCCTCTGGTTATTTTAACATAGCCATGGGAAATAACATATTTATAGATCTTTTACGTATTAAAAATAGCGATTTTCCATGGCTATGTTAAATAACCAGATGGTATATAAACAACAGATACGCGGTAGATCTTATGTTTTGAGGTCCGGCTCCGTGCTGAAAAGCCCTTCGCACAGGTCCAAGTGTGGCGTGAATGACTACTTCATCCTCTACTATGAGGGCCATGGTACCGTGCTCCGCGACCCGGATTTTCAGGTTGCACCGGACATGGGGGGCGGCCTGGGGTGGTGACATGTTGTTGGGCTTGGGACGGATATCATTTGTGGATTGGAAGAAACAAATTGCCAGAAACTATATAGATCTGAAACTGGGAGAATGATCTTTGACCAGAATTGCACGGGAGTTTTGGAACCTTATCGTTGCAGTTGCCGGCCTTGCTTAGCAAATACCGGTAACTTCCTCAACCATCCGTAGCCAAGGTTACAGTACCTATAGAATGCTAGCAGTTTAATTGGGTGGTAACCGCGGTAACCACCCAACATTGGGGCTCATCAGTGTGTGCTTACCCTTTCCAAGAACGTGGCCCTAACGCCGCGCCGTCGCCAGAGCGCACATGATGAAGCCTTTGTTTTGGTGGATCCCAATGGCAAGGTGCCAAGCCAAGCGCCGGAAAGCTGCCAGGAACTGGGACATACTGGGACTATTCAGTCACAAAGCTACATGGTTGTGAAGCCACAAAAGATTCAGAGATTTGAGCCAAGTACAATTGAGCATCGATGAGAAGGGGGCCTTATTAATCCATATTAGTCCTTAATATTCCTTCATTATTACCGTTGATGATGGTCACAAGGGCAAAAATAGCAATGTGGCTGCGTTTTCCACAGGTCGTAGATTGCTCAGAGAGTTGAGCACATGAGGTGTCACGTAGACAGTCATGAGCAGGTCATGCGTGCTTTACTTTCACATATGTGAGTGGTGCTTGCAGAGCCCAATATTATCCCATGGTACAGTAACTCCCCCCCCAAAAAAAAAACAAGTGATAGAGGTGGACATGCTTCGGTAGTGCATCGAACGCGATCGAAGATAATGTCAATTCCGGGTCAGCTGCAGGCATCACCAGCGACCCTCTTCCTGGAGAATGACTTCTCAACTTTAGTGGGAAATCACAGTGCGATTTATGTTCTTGGGACGTGTTGCAGGGTAGGTTGATGGTGAGCAAGACAACACAGATTTGTGGCTAATTAATAGAAAGACTGGAAGTGATGCCATATGAGTAACTTGAGAAATGGCGAAGGATTTTCTCACTTGATTGTGCATGGTCATATGAATGATTTCAGGATGCTGGTGGCCGTTTGGATGATTTTGGATGCACCATCCAGATTTTTAGAGACAGGGATAGGGCTACTATACGGGCTGCGGGGAGATGAAGATAGGCATCCAGCTGTCACCGGCTAAAAATGCACCCGAGATGTAGTCTAGATATCCCCTACAAGGATTGGCCCCGATTCCAGATACTAGTTAACTTGCTAGTATCTAGTTAACAATGTTGATCTGGCTATATACATAATTATATAAAAAATATATATATATATATATAATATATTTGTAAATATATATATATGGTTATATATAATATAATATATTTTATTTTTCCAGAGATGGGAATATGTTCACATTTTTTGGGTTTTTCAGGGTATAGTAGTGTCCCATCATGGCCGTCCACAGAGGGACCAGAAGCCGGCAGAGATACATCCATCCCATGAAATGGTTCCCCTGGAATTGAGACTGCAATTTGCTGGAACCTCAAAGATATCAAAAATCGGGGCCCTCAGTTGGATCAAAGGGATGACGGACAAACACATGTTGTTTAAAGAAAATATATGTTGAGATTCATAGGCTTTGGTAAGTTGGGGCTTTCTGGTATGTGTCAGGGGTTCGAAATGGTTCACATATATCAACCTCAAGCTGATATTTGCTTTTAAGTTACCCCTGCTGTAAACTGGCATATGTATATAGATGTGGGAAACACAGCATTTGTAGACCATTTTCCTAGGCAAATTATGGGCTCTCAAAGTCTAGGGCAGATTCTGGGTGGCAGGTCTTGGACAATTTCAAACCTGAGACGCGCATCATCCTTCTGACGGTGCCAGGGCCGAGATTCGGAGCCACTGCCCCAAGAAAAGGGAAGGTACCCGATAGTCAAACTTGGCTGGGAACTTCCCTGCAAATTCTGAATGATTCTATAATCATGATTAATGGTTGTTGTACTATTGTTTGATGGGAAAGAAATTGAAAGAACATCGAGTTTCATGGCTGGGTCAGATTGTCGGACGGTGTCGTAGAAAGTAGCTGTTGCGATGGATGACCTTGTCATTTTATGTGGGATGCAATGTGACCCTTCAAAGATTGTTTTGTTTCACAGGCATGTTGCTACTCACATGATTGTTGTGTTTCATCCTTTTGAACTTTGTTTATACAGCCTACGTTTGAAAGCAGTAAATGCTACAGCACCATAAATAACTATATATCTAGATGTACAATTATGAATTGCAGATGTATATGCAGATTTTTCTACATGCATGCATCTATTCATCTATATCATATATATATAATATTATTTATATTTTTTGGATATACATATATTATCTGATATATATATACATATTTACATACATAAATCACATATATATATATACATACATATTTAAATTTTTATATTCATGTATATTCATTTTATTTGTATGTATATGTATATGTAACTGTTTTTTCTATTATCATATTCATATATATATATATACTTATCATTTTTATGTATGTATATATATATATATATTTATTTATATTCATATATATATATATATATACATTGTCATATATATATATATATATACACATTCAAAAAAAGAAAAGCAAACACATATCTTCTTACAGACATTATCTAAAAATTGTGGGTTTCGATTTTGACAGGCAGCTCGCTGCAGGACCCGGGCCACGAGGTTCCAGTGATCGATGTGACCCGAGAGTACTGGCGCGGACGCCACAGGGGGATGGACGGACGGGCGACGACTGCAAGGATGGTGACCGGAAAGGGAAAAGGGTTCGGAAATGCTGGGAACACCTCGGTGTTATGTATATAATTCGTTTGCAGTTTTCATAGTCTTTTTTGGTGATAATTCTAGAAGATGCTAGAAACGTGTTCCCAGTTCCCAGCATTCTTTTTTGCCAGGAAAGGTTCGGCATTGATATGGAAAATATGGGACCAAACATGTGTTCCATCCCATTAGCAGGGCCGTAGGGGTGATGCTAAATGTCTTCGCCATTCCGTGGAAATCAAGGATTGAAGACTGGAGTATCACTTAATGTTCGGGTTTTAGTCATCATGATGAAGTATCATTATTACACCTGTTTACTATAACTACCTATGACTGTCACTGATATAATATATATATAGTACATTATTCTGTGTAACAGTCTTGAATCCAAGAGGCATGTGTAGAGGGTGACCGTCCCAAATGGCATGTGTAGAGTATGAAACTTGGGTAACACATGCGCTATCAGTTTGTTGTAGGATGACATAGGATGACCACCCAAATTACTCAATTTGTTGTGGATGGGGTCTGGGGATGTTTTTCCCTAGCCTATAAAAATGAGTCGTTTCCATCGTACCATGCTGACATTGCCATGGAATGCCATAGATATTTGTGGCACCTTGGACAGATTCCGTTTTCGCATGTGGGACTGCCTGGGCGGCTGGTGTCCAGGCTTGAAGCAAACCCAGAAAGTGCATTGAAAGCATGACTTCTCTTTAAACAGAGGCATTTCAATCATGAACATGGAGCACGTAGGTTACTGGCAGTTTCAAAATTATGTGTTTTTTCTTTTCTCTGTGTCTCACTGGGAAAAGAATCCGGCAAACCATCGCTGCCGCTGCCGTTCTCCAAAGCTTCCATTTTTTTGTAGAGATTCAATGCCCAAAGGGGGCCACCGCTGCGTCGCGTCCTCGGTTTCAGCTCAAGAATTTGAGATCTCTAAGCACTAGCTGCTGAACCTAGTCCACCTATTCCCCACTATCAGGGGGAAGATGCTATTTAGGGCCAGGCTCACAAGTTGATTGCTGTCGCTGGTCCCAGTTCTTGTTGGTTGCATGGGCTATACTGCTGATTGAAAGGTGATTCTTCTTGACTATATGTGATTGTGTCTCTGTCATTTTTGGTTCTGTTTCAACATTTCTCCACGGTTCCAAGTTTTCTTTTGTGGGATCTTGTGGTGTGGTTCATGGTTGTTCAGTTGTGTCAGTTGCATCGTCTGTTCCTTGTTTGATCCCTTGAACTCAAGGATGCCTAAATAGAATGGAGCTATATTTTTTGCAGATTATCCAGCATAGCGATGTTTGTTAGACCTTAGTTTATGTATATTCTGTTTGAATCTCTTCTGGCTAAGGCAGACCTGGCATTGAATCGGGATGGAGGTGCGCCAGACGGGGTTTTGGCATGTTTCTACGGGCAGAGGGGACTTGGATGGGTACCAAGATATATACATACATATCTATCTATCAGATATTATGTGGTAGCAAATTAGCAAAATTCTTTTTTTTTGCCAAAAGACCTGCAAGCTTCGGTCCGCTCCTTTGATGTATTTACCCATCCACTCATTCATTCAGATATGGCCCCAGGGTCATCGCGCCAGGAGGAGTTACAACGGCTTAGCACCAAGGTGCAAGAAGCCTTGGAAGAGGCCTTGGGTGGTTAACTGGGGTTGATGGGGAACATATCCGGGATAGAACTACAGTATCAACTTTTATCTATATATATATATATATATATAAACGATATATTGTATCTGGCTATATAGTGGCCTTGTAGTTGCTATGATGGGTTTTTAAACCAAATTACTAATGTGGTAAATAATGGTAAATATATCTTACTAATGTGGCACGCCCAATGTCAAATGTCATAAACCATTCCAATTAGAGTTGTTGTTTTTTTTTGGGGGGGTTCTTGCTTGGGACAATGTAGCATGACCCTAAGTGGGTCAATGGGATTTACTTATTGGGTGTACCAAATTAATAGAAATGAATTCTGGTAAATAGACCCATTATCAATGTACTGAGTAATATACTGCAGTCATGATATTATTTAAATGTTCAAACTATGTTAAGTTGTTAAACCCGTGCCCTTGATAATTTATATATAGAAAACCACCAGTATGTGATAATAGGTACATCATCGAACCAAATGGGCCATGGCTTCCATTGAAAACTGATTGTTTACTGGAGGGTATAGGTTTTGTTCAATCCCTGTTCATTCTAGTAGGCGAAGGAGTCTGAAAGACAAGAAGGTGAATCATGCATTCTTCTTTAGGGAAATGAGGTGTGAACTGGGAAAATGAGATGAAATAGGGACTATGACTTCAATTTAATGTCTCAAAAGAAGGGTTTGAAGCGCGAACATGGGGATAGTTCGCAGGAATGCGGATTTGAACAGCAACAAGGGCAAGAAGGGCAACAAGGGCAATAAGAACGTATTATAACCAGCAACCAAGATATGTGCATTTTTAATGAATAACAATGGATCTTCTGTCCATCAGTTCAGTAGTATGGATACATTTGCTGTCTTTGGTTGATCCACCCCACAGGCTCGGGATGCTCCACCCCACAGGTGCAACATGTGCGCGATCGGGTGAAGAAGATGTGCCATGAACTCGGGCAGGCCCAGCGGGAGCCAGGCATGGGATGGCATGTGGGAAGCTCCCCAGTGGTTGCAAGTCACTTCCGAATTGGGATGGATAGTTTCGTACTCAAAAATTCCAAATCTACAGATTTGGGGCATTTTTTTTAGGGACCAGCTGAAAACTGACTTGTTTGGCTGTTTGGTATATCTAAGCGATTGGCCATGATTCCCGGTGCTAGGTGGACATCTCCGAGAAAGCGCAGACCTCGCAGGCTGATGAGGTGTGGAAGTTGATAGATAGAAATCGTTGCAGAATTTTGTCGTGTCAGAGCTTTCAAAACCACTGATTAATTCAAACACATAAGGGTTTTCCACAGTTTTTGACCTCCATAACTAGTTTCCTGAAAAGGCATCACATGATATAGATTGATATAGGGTATCTCTGGCTGTGGCACGGCCCACCAAGCAGTTTAGCACTAGCACTTACTTCCCACTCCCTGCCATTGAAAGCTCCTTGTTATGAGCTTGCCTCTCTAACATCATTCACTGGAATGTTTAATGTGAATCAGAAGTGTAATTCCATGATTTTATGCATCATTTTATCTATCGAACCACAGGTTTGGTCTGCTCTTGTTGGCGTCAATGATTTTCAGGCCCAGCTGGAAATAAGATATTGTCTGAACATAGGAGTACCCCAAAGTCCAATGCTGTACGAACATTTTCCCCATGAGAACATCTGAAAAGATATTGAAAGTGTCAAGTGAGAGGGGTTGAATCTCCAGGTCCACACCCAGTTGATGCCCAGCCATTTTCATGTGGGACTCGCTGCCATGAAAGGCCTACACCACCAAGTTGAAGACGCTTCTGTCGAGCGTCTCCCAAGAGGCTCTGGGGGTGCCATCACCCTGGTGTATATACCATGAATACTCAAGTTTTGTCCATGATAAGGGGTTGTCTGAAAAAGGGGGGTATCCCCCCATATAGCCAATTAAATGAGGATAATGACCATCAACCCATGGATTTAGGGCTACACTAGTTTCAGACAAATCGATACATGGCCAAATATGATATATATATATATATTTATTTATTTATTTACACTTTCCGACCCTTTTGACATGACCCTATAGTCATGCGGAATGAGTGTGGCATAACAAATCATGGTCAGTGAATGCGAGAAGATTTCAAAAATTAGGTATGCCCACAATAGCCATTTTGATAGAGAAACTGATGATGATAATTGAATTCTATGAGCCTATGGGGGTCATATTTAATATATTTTCAAACAATGCGATTTGGTGGGGATACCTGCCAAAAATTGCAAGTTGGTGGTTTCGAATATACTTCTCGCATTTACATATATATATATATTAACACATATATTTATTTGTAAGGCTCAATGATGTTTGGAATGATGATCCCCAGTGACTCACGTTTTTAGTGTATGTATATATATATATGTTTATATATATATATACAGTAATTATATTGCATACGTATTGGGGGTATATGCTGAAACCAGCAAGCAGGTAGTTACTTGTGCACTCCCGCGCAGTCGCGATTTTAATTCCTCCGTACATCCTAGAGTGCATTTATGCCTATGTATCAGTCATCTATTTCAAAAGAAGGCAATATGTGCATCTGTGTATGCATGTGTATTTTGTTGTTTATGTTTTTAGCTATTCATGAATTCGGTGTATCATTTTTTCAATTTGTTTCAAACAATGTTGTTTTATTATGTTTTAATGATGCACGACGATCGCTGTGACAGGCTCCCACTGTGCCCATAACTACACCTCGAGAAGCCGATCGAAAGGACATCGGCAGGCGGGGAACGTGGTGTCAAAGGGGCTGGGGGTGACTCAAGGAATGGATATATTATCCACCAAGTGGTGGTTTGACCAGTAAACAATTATGGTTTTAGCAGCAAAATTGAGGGTTTAACGGTGTAACATGCACACGCTAGACAAAATTGGATCTTTTAAGAGATCCATCAGGAACTGAGTCCTTTCACATGCGATTACGAAAATAAATGCAGGTACAGGAATGTGCGTCCACATTCCCTTCCGGCTGAATCCCATAGCTTCGTTGGCATGGCTAGGGAAACAGCTGCCATGCCCCCTGCTTTGACATTGACAACCCTTGTTAGAAGGGGAGGAGGAAAGAAAAAAGGAGAGGTTTTACATCTATTTAGATGTTACACACACACACACACCCGGCCGGAGCCGGGAAAACCCTGAAAGGCAAGAGGAAGAAAAATGCGGACACAAACGACGGGCAAAAGGCCAGAACAGCGCCGGGGGGGGAAGGGAAGAGACGGACCTCCAGAACCAACCTACGCGGCGAAACGGACCTAACCAGCACAGGGCACACACCTAAACCCCACAACACATTACAGAGGTGCACGGGGGAAGAATTAGGGACCAAATGGGGACTAGTTGGTGGCAAGAGTGAAACAACAAAAAAATAATGAAAGGGACACAGTTCCAACCTAGAATGTCGTGCGTCAATCCCAGGTCATGCCACGTGGGCTCAAACGGCTATGCAAAGTCAAATGAATTAGATGCACAAAAGCTGTACCTCACCAGAAACCAAAGAGACCACACCTGTAGGAAAAGGACATGCCTGTTGCCTGTTCTGCCACGCTGACATGCAAAAAGCTGGAGCTGCGGTTCAATAAGGAGGTTTCTGGCTGTTCGGAATGGCTGCACGTTCGCAGAGAGGAAATCGGCAATTTTCACAAGGGACCACAGGAGCCGCAGGACTGCTCAAAAAGGTGAGAAACGGAAAGGCCAGCTGTTGCACTGTTGCACTTTACTGAAACGAATTACCAGGTTAAAAATGTAAATTCCGAAATCAGTTCAGTCAAAATTCACCCGCAATGGGGTTGCCTCCATTGGCCCTATGGCACCTTGTCGGAGTCACCATAGGAATCACACTAGACAAAATTGGATCTTTTCAGAGATCCATCAGGAACTGAGTCCTTTCACATGCGATTACGAAAATAAAACCAAATACAGGAATGTGCGTCCACATTCCCTTCCGGCTGAATCCCATAGCTTCGTTGGCACGGCTAGGGAAACAGCTGCCATGTCCCCTGCTTTGACATTGACAACCCTTGTTAGAAGGAGAGAAAAAAGAAAAAAAATATATAGGTTTTACATTTATTTAGATGTTACACACGCACACACACACACTGATGGTGAACCAATGTGTTCAACATGTGAGAACCATGCAGAACTTGGAGCTACCCTTCAATGTCCACACTTCCCGCCATGGAGGAAATTGATATCGGAGTGCTTGGCTCAGAGGGGGCCAGGAACCAGTTCCCTAAAGGTCCTAAAGATCATATGTGTCATATCTTGAGTAACAGGATGCTTGGATGTGCATCCCAGTAGGTGGCTCATTACATGTTGCAACCCCATGCGTAACGGGGGATATTTCATGTTCCACCTGGGCTGCAAAAAATTGTTATTCGCAACTTCCTAAGTGGGATGCACCGCGCACCCGATAGATTAACACATGATCCATCTATCTATCTATCTATCTGTCTGTCTATCTATCTATCTATCTATCTTTCTATCTATCTATCTGTCTATCTATCTATCTATCTACCTATCTATCTATCTATCTATCTATCTATCTATCTATCTATCTATCTATCTATCTATCTATCTATCTATCTATCTATCTATCTATCTATCTATCTATCTATCTATCTATCTATCTATCTATCTATCTATCCTTTCCATCTATCCATCCATGGTAATATCCATCAGAGGTTCGGGTGGATTTGTATCTTCACCCAGGCGCGATGAAGTTTTGAGCCTGGAAAAGGCGCTGCGTTTCGGATGGTTAACCGGGGATCATTCGGGATGCCGTTGCAAAGATTGTGATTTAGGAAGTTAGTTACGGCGTATTTGGAAAAATTACCACCACTGAACCACTGAAGCAATTCCAAGTGATGTTCTTTTTTGATCTTTTCGTTGCACAGGTGAGCTCACAAAAGACATCAAGCACCATTTACAGATGCAGACAATTGATTACCGACTAGCATATGTGATCGGATAATCATACCTGCGTATGAGCGATTTCCAAACTTGTGGGTTCTCCGGCAAATTTCCGCCAGATTTCACCCCATTGTGCAAATATTGCTGGTGTCTTCCAAATGTCAACCAGTCGGCTACCCTCAGGAGCTTGCAGCCCTGCAGCTGTCTTTGAAAGAAGCTGATCCTCCAGGTGGCTGATCAAAATAGAATTGCGTGAAGGGTTTAAACCCTCCACGTTCAGACAAACCAAAATAGAATCTTCTTGGTGAAATACTCAAACATATCCCATTAAAAAACCTTCAGGATCCTTGCTTAAATCCTTCTTTTTGATGGTTAAACCACAATGCTTCACCATGTTCGATGACTATATCCAGAAGTTGTCCCAATGTTTCATGGTCAAATCCCCTCAAACCACCATATTTCTGTTGGAAAATCTTCCAACAGACCCTGGATGCCCCAGGCCATTTCAAGGAATCATCTCCAGAAGATCAGTCCGCGTTGCCCCGCGCCCTGTCCACCGGTCCGGAAGGACCGGTCGGAGCGGTGGCAGAGCGAGCGCCTGAAGGTGGAGCCGCAGGTTGTCTGAGAATGGGGGACCTCTAAATCCACTGGTGACGTTACGACGTTCATCAGAATCCCATAATCATCATGCATATCATGCCGTCCCACGCCCTTAAAATATTCAACACCCAATAGCTGGGTCTCAATGTGTAAACCCCCAAAAAAAAGGGACTAAAGCATGTTTTCTGGGTGGTGAGTGGTGCTTAATATTAAGGGGAAAGGATTATGTTCCATGGATTCGCAGCTATATATTTTAGGGTATACCGGTAAACTCGGTAATTATACCACATTGTCAGGCCCAGCAACCGCTAAGCTCTAATAAAATTTATCTGAGCCTTCTGAATTGCTGAAGTTTAAAAGAATCTTATAGCCTATTGCTTCATTTCCCATGACCGTGGAATCTAATGGGAAAAAATGTGGTTTCATGGGTTTTTAACCATGAAAAATGGTGAAGAATGGCCGATCAACATTATTGAACAATTTAATTGGGATTAACGATTCAACGTTGGTTCATCGGGATGTAACTGGGATGTGTTTTGCTAACCACGCGCGCTCATATTATATATATATAATTATTATTATATATATATACGTATTATACATATATATATATATATGATGATGATGATGATGGTGATGATGATGATGATGGTGATGATGATGATGATGATGATTGGGGCATTGCTGGACTTAACCATCGGTAAATCACATTTTTAATGGGGAACAATGATGACAACACATGATATGATTGTGTGGGCGCCCCTTTTTAGACAAACCAGAGGGAGTAAACTCACCAACCTCGACATTGGTTCCATCAATCAGCCAACAAATATAGGTATGACGGGTATGTCGCTCAACCATTTGGGATCACTATCTCCAGTGACTTTTATATTCTTGGGATGGGTTCAAGTGTGCCATCGTATCAGATTTTATTGGGTTACCATGCCGGATAGGATGTATACATGATACTTGTTTATAGACATGTGAGTTGTTGGCGCCAGTCAATGAGTCACTGCCATCCTTGTATTTATCGCGATCAGATTGCTAGTCGATTACTGCTATATCGAGTCTGCCACGGGATGGGTTGATATATCCAAAAACTGCGGGGTAAACTCAGTGAGCCTGCAAAAAATGCTCAACTTATTAACCAAGGTGGAACTCCCATGCATGTATGTGGTGGTTTCTCAAAATACGTACCCAAAAAAACGTCAACAACCATATGTTTGGAAACACAGCCCTAAGAATGTTTCAAGTATGGATCAAAAAAAACACGGTTGCAGTTGCAATACATTTTGTATGCATATATTCCTGATATATCTCAAGATGTCCATCTTTGAATCCAGTGGGATCATCCCAGGCCAAGATGGTCAAAGCGGCGAGTTGGAGAAGCGCCTAGCGGCGATTTAAAGGGATTTTTCCATTATCCAATTTGCATGTCATGAAAAGTTTGGGCTGTTGTCCTAGCAAACTGTTTGTTGTGAATTATTCGTAAGCCGTCCTGTCTCATTTTTATGGTGCAGCGCTGAAGTTGATTCTCGTGATTCTCGTGCATAAATAAACAATCAATAAATACATATATATATATACACATTTAAATCTTAATATATATTAATATATCATTATATATATATATATCTCTCTCTCTCTCTCTTTTGTGCCCGGGTATAGGGATCTTTTATGACCTTACAGCGAGGTCATCAAAAATGATGGTTAGTAAGTGGGGTGGTTTATCCAAAGGATTGCTACTTCTGCTTGTGAACAACAAATGCAAACAGATTCATACATGGTTCACAATCACTGACCACACGGAATGTGCTCAACATGCACTCGTAGTGAACAAGACTGGCTTGAACATAGTCTACCTACTGTATATAGCATAAACAGGCATGTTTGGATATCTTCTTTTATTTTCAGTCTTCTTCAAACGTGTTTTTGGGTTTTATGAAGTCGATTTTGTTGGTTTGGTCACTTGTGCAAGTTTGCGGGCGTGCGTGCTTGTGCCAAGAGTGAGTTCAATAAAAAGAAACCATTGTTTATTCGGGAGTCTGAAATTCCTTGTCAGCACGGTATTTGTTGCGATGGCTGACCAATTTCCAAATCAGTAGTGCCCATTTGCCACCTCCTGTTGAAGGGAAAATTGGCACCAGCTACCCTATTGTCTAGGTCATCATTTGTCCGCGATTAAGGAAAGATGCCAGCGCGGACATCGCACCCAAAGCAAAAGCCGCTTGGCGTGGTTACTTTTGATCCCCTTGGAATCCAGGGGCTGTTGGCGGTATGAGTTGGTTCTTGCATATCCATCATGCATTATCATTTATACGTTCATGGGATATCAATAGTATATAATAAATCTCACACACAGACACAGACACAGACACACACACACACATATATATATATATATTTGCCATATATTTATAAATATCTATTTTTATTTATGCCCTATTGATATATATATATATTATAAATATCAGGATACATCACAGATATGGTTACAGGAGGTGCCAGAATTATAGAACGAAATTAGGAGTACAAAAGTACGGTAAAATACCGTACCTTCGTACTCCTCCGGATCCCGATTCCGCGCGGATTCGGATCCTGTTCTATAATTATGTTTTCTGATGTTATTATTGTTCCCTATATTTTTCTGTTCTTTAATTTCTGGCACTGGCATGATATCTAGTATTTGTATACAGTAAATAATTATAGAAGGGTTTGCGCAAAATTAGTTATAGAACGGAAAAAATAATTATAGAACGAAACTGGTAAATGTGGCAAAAATGGGGGAACACACAATTATAGAACAAACCAGAATTATAGAACGATGAAAACAATAGGAGTAAGTTGAGATATGTTTTTTTTCATACCTTCCGAGGAAAATAGAATTATGGAACAACAGGGTACGGTAAATAACCGTACCTTCGTACTCCTAAACTTCCGTTCTATAATTTTGGCACCTACCCTATAGGCCCTATATAAATACAACTGCTGTATATCGATATGTCTATCGTCCAGGCCATGGCGGCCTGCCCGGGCCGCACCTCGCGCAGCTCGTTGCCCAAGCCGCCACCGCCCAAAGCGAAGCCGGCGCCGAAGGCACGGCGGGCACAGCATGGCGGCGTACGGCTGGTGGTTCCATGGTTTGTGGTTTTTATGGTGATGCCATGGGTTTTTATAGTGATACAATGGAATTTGATGGTGATTAATGAGGATTTCATGGGATTCTATGGTGATTTAATGTGATTTTATTGTGATTCATGAGGATTTCATGGGATTTTATGGAGATTGATGGTGATTTTTCATGAATTTTTATGACATATAGTTAGCGGTGGTTTTCCGGTGGTTTATCGGGTGATATCCCAACTCTTTGGGGTTGTTTGCCGTTACTACCATATTACCATGTCCTACCATGTTTTTTGTAGAATGGTTGTTGGTTGGTGGTCCTTAAACCATTGACTTAGGTGATCTTATTTTGGTAGAATGCGTTTGACACAGCTGGTGAAACCATTGCCTGGTTGAGAATGTATGTATAATGATGGTGGAATATATGGTTTAAGTCTAAGTCAAGAAATTTCACCAACATAGAAATGAATGGTGGTGAAACCAACACAAAAGGTGACAAATGTGGTTTAGTTTAATGATGCTGACATGTGGCTTGATGATGTTTGATGAGTTTAGTGGTGGTGAAATCAATCAGAGCGGTGAAACATAGGGCTTGATAGTTTAGAACTTGGGATTTGGAATCGCCACCAAGCCGCCAAGCAACCAGCAATTGATGAGCGCGTGTTGAAGCTTACTTTCCATCGGGGAGAGTGTAAGCCAACAGTTAGTTCCTTCTTGCCATAAACGGCCCAGAATTGTGGTGCATATTGTTACCAGCACGTGCCGCGCTGACATAGTAGATTGTAGCCTGCACAGTCTGGTGGGATTTGTGGCTACTTAAGAAAACGGAAGGATCATCAAACGCCTGAAGCTTTGAATTATTTTGATAAATCCGAGATACCAGTACTGTATATATACAATATTGCATTTTACCTCAAACCATGTGTCTACCCACCTGTCAACCAATCTACTACTGTAGTCGGCAATGGGCACACTCACCTGTCGCGGCTGCTGCCGCCAGGCCAAGGTTCGAGCACAGGCATTGAGGGGGCACCGGGGTGGAGAGAGACCCTGAAGAAAATGGATGGTTTGATACTGAAACATCTAAAGTACACAAAACCAACCCACTATTGCGCCCCAATTTCTTGTGTAAAGGTGTTATTTCCCCACCTGCCAGGTGAGGGTTGTTAGATTTTATCAGAGCTGTTCTCTTCCTCCTCGACTAGCTCTCCTCTTCCTCCCTCTTCTCCTCCTGCGCCTCCTCCTCCTCCTCCGCCTCCTCTGCCTCCTCCTCCAGTTTCTCCTCGACCATGTCTGCATCAACTTCCACCTCAACTTCCGCCTTGCCAACTCTTGGCCAAGCTTTTTGCCAACTGCCCAGCTCACTTGCGCCGCCGAGCTCAGTGTGCACTGCTGGACCTCAACCTGGGACCTTCCCAGCTCAGTGTGCACTGCTGGACCTCAACCTGGGACTGGGACCTTCCGAGCTCAGTGTGCACCGCTGGACCTCAACCTGGGACCTTCCCAGCTCAGTGTGCACTGGACCTCAACGGCCAGATAGAATGCCAGAAGATATGCCAGATAGAATGTCAGAAGATATGCCAGATCGAATGCCAGAAGATATGCCAGATAGAATGCCAGAAGATATGCCAGATAAGACGCCAGATAGCATGTCAGATAGAATGCCAGAAGATATGCCAGATAGAATGCCAGAAGATATGCCAGATAGAATGCCAGAAGGTATGCCAGATAAAGTGCCAGAATGTTTGCCAGATAAAGTGCCAGAATGTTTGCCAGATAGAATGCCGAAAGATTTGCCAGATAGAATGCCAGATAGGATGTCAGAAGATATGCCAGAAGATATGCCAGATAGAATGCCGGAAGATATGCCAGAACATATGCCAGAAGATATGCCAGTTAGAGTGCCAGTAACAAAATGTATAGATGTCATGGTGGGGATCACACGAAGTAAAGTAATTCTTTCTAGGGGGATTTTGGATTCCGCACTGGCAGAGAACAAGGGGACAAGCGCCGTTTCCATCCGTTTCCTCGATTTGCTAAATCGCACAGGGCCAGGGAACAGCTTATATAGTAATTTGCAGCTTGCACTTCGTGTTTCACGAGCCAAAACATTGCTGGGGTCAAGGAAGAAGAGTGGGACAGAACCCACCATAATCGGTGAGTTGTGCTGGGTTATATTGCTTGCTGATTTGCTGGTTGTTTTCAGAAAATCTTGGTACGCGTACAGCAACTTCTTTGGATGATGATGCCCACTCGGTGCTTGTGGTTCTTTGAGCCTGTCAGCCCTGTCTTAGAGGCAAAATGAAAGATTAACGGTCACACAATCAATTGAGCCATTACATACAGTACCCTTGCTGCTTGGTCATCGAGTGTTGTTGAACAAATGGTTAATTTCATGGAATTTCTAAAAATCAACTCTGGCTTCATAAACCCCGAGGCTGTTTGACTGGGGAGGTACCATTTGAGTATTAGATTACCACTATTTGGGGAGCACTTCCCCTAATTAATGAACCATTGTTTCTTAATTCAGGGTTGACATTAACCCATAATAGGCATAGTTCACCAACCCAAGGCCACCCGGTCATGAGTGCCTACAGGCACCAGACGAAGAGACGGAGCGTGAGGTCGAACTTCCCTTGGTGGATTCCATATCCCGCGGAGCAGTCCATCACTTCTATAGGCATCTATTGTAATTATACGTTTCCTAAAAGGATAGATTCTTGCAAACTCCTGGAGATAGATTTGCTGCTGCTTAGGGAATGGGATAATGATCTAAAAGAACTATCTACCAATCCCATTCCCCCAGTCCCTGCTACGCACCAGGTAGGATAGAATTTGCTAAGACTACTATATATATATAACTAAGATTATCTAATTGCAATTTGGAAAGTATTTGAACATTATATAATTATATGTATATATATATATGTGTGTGTGTGTGTTCATTTAAAGATAGATTCAGATAGATCTCACATTCCTTTTGCCCCCAGCGATGCAGGATGGCACCTCAAGTCGGCTGGTGAACCTCCACTGGCGTGCCTCCCAAGCTCCTCCCGAGGTCACGATTTCGCGACCGATTTTTGTGCAGTGGTCCAGGTGGTTAGGCAACTTTGCTTTATAACTCGAATCGCTAGATTTTTTGCTGGTTGGTGCTTTGGAACATTTTTTTATTTTCCATATATGGGAATAATAATCCCAACTGACTAATATTTTTCAGAGGGGTTGAAACCACCAACCAGGTAAGTTAGTTGTATATCTAATATTTGTTGGGGATATATGTAGCTCACGGGCTCACAGCGCTCCTTTCTGTATATTTAATGTTTATAGGCTACAGGGCTTATAACAAATCAAATGAAGTTGGTTATATTACATGTAATATGTATATATATATATATATATGTATATATCTGAGTTGTCTAATGGTCATTATAAGGCTTGTATCAAATGTAGTTGGTTATATATTCAATGTAATTTACACGGAAGTGAGATATTTGTGACCCTGCGAAGGACCAAAGGACCCCCCTTGGGACTGGGATGATCCCAACTGGTTTTTTTTTACCTGGACCGGGGAAGCGGTCATTCCATGTCATTTCATGCCCGGAAAATTGGCATGTTGTCAAAGTTTAGTATAAGTCTGGTTGGTGGTTTGGAACATGAATTTTATGTTTCCATATATTGGGAATAATCAACCCAACTGACTAATATTTTTTCAGGGGGGTTGAAACCACCAACCAGAAGTAGTTTTTAGTTTAAACGCATGAAACAAAAGGAAAAATAGTTGTGTGTGCATGTGAGTGTGTGTGTGTGTTGTTTTGTTTTGTGGAGGGGGCACTTCAAGTAGAAAAAATGTGTAAGGAATATGGTTTCGCATTATGATGAATAACTGCGGATGAGTTTTTGGCGGAACATTCTCTGGTTACTTAACATAGCCATGGAACATGGTCAGTTTATGTTTTAAGATATTTGCCTACTAAGAATGATTACGTTCCAATGCTAGGTTGAATACTGAGAGGGTATCAGATTGAATGGATGTTCTGTTCAATGCAGCATGCTTGTCATTAAGAAACAAGCACATGAAATGACAAATGATTTGACAAAACACATCTGATTCTATATAGATGCATACTTATCCAGCGACATAGATACATAAAGATAGACAGACAGACACACAGACATGCACATACACAAATTTGCATACTTACACATAATATGTTTCTTTATATCTATCACACACAAAAGTGCATGATACATACGTGTAATACATACATATATGTATACATGTGTGTGTGGTCAGTGTTGGGTATTGTCAGTTCCAACCCTGATTCCAATGGGGTCGTGGCAGGAGACCGAAATCTTTGTTGGCAAAGACGGGCCACTTGGTGGCGGGGTAGCGGCTTGTCATTAGGGGATGCCCCAACACTGACCTGAGAACTCAATTGTGTGTAAAAAATACTGCTGTTTCAGGAATTTCTGTTTTTTGGAGCAAACAACCACACTTTTTGTTTTCGATTCTATTTTACTGTTTCTTCTAATATAACCCCATTGTATTCCGAGATTGCACGTCGATAGCACTTCTGGTTGCCACCAGCCCCAAATCCTACATTTCTTGCCGCGCTCTCCGTGGCAGGTACTTGCAGTGCATGTCCACCATGATGGAGAGGCCGGTGCAACGTATTTTAATCTGGAGTGCGGGACGCTGTGGGTCCCCAGTTTTTATGTGATTTTTAGCTGTTTTTACTATGTTTTATTACTTACTTTATTCATATTTCTTCTATTAAGTTTCTAGTCCTAGATATTACAAAAGTTTATTATACTTTCATCAACTTTACATAAAGTATGAACAGTCTTAAAGTTATAATTAAAGTTATTTAAACAATATTTGTATTCATATTGATAATATATTGTATGGAGTATAGCAATCAATTATAGCATCATGAATATAATTCTATTTATTGGTTTTGTACAGATATTGTAACTTCATGTTTTACCTTATGTAATATATGCATAGTGATCCTTATTTTGTTAAATTCATCTTGTTATGGTTGCAAACATGATGGCCCAGAGAGCCACCTAGAGACAAATGACCTTTTCAGCAGACAAGATGGCCCAGAGAGCCACCTAGGTACACATGAATGTGTAGTAAACAAGCATGAGGCTGTAGGCACGATGGCCCAGAGAGCCACCGAGGTACAGATGAGTGTGTAGCAAGCAAGATGGCCCAGAGAGCCACCTGGAGACAGATGACATTGTAACAGACAAGATGGCCCAGAGAGCCACCTAGAGACAGATGACATTGCAACAGACAAGATGGCCCAGAGAGCCACCTAGAGACAGATGACATTGCAACAGACAAGATGGCCCAGAGAGCCACCTAGAGACAGATGACATTGTAAGAAACAAGATGGCCCAGAGAGCCACCTAGATGTTGTTGTTCTTCATCTTGGTATGGTTGCGAACATGATGGGCCAGAGAGCCACCTAGAGACAGATGACATTGCAACAGACAAGATGGCCCAGAGAGCCACCTAGGTACACATGAATGTGTAGCAGACAAGGATGAGGCTGTAGACACGATGGCCCAGAGAGCCACCGAGGTACAGGTCAGTGTGTAGCAAGCAAGATGGCCGAGAGAGCCACCTGGAGACAGATGACATTGTAACAGACAAGATGGCCCAGAGAGCCACCTAGAGACAGATGACATTGCAACAGACAAGATGGCCCAGAGAGCCACCTAGAGACAGATGACATTGTAAGAAACAAGATGGCCCAGAGAGCCACCTAGAGACAGATGACATTGTAAGAAACAAGATGGCCCAGAGAGCCACCTAGATGTTGTTGTTCTTCATCTTGGTATGGTTGCGAACATCATGGGCCAGAGAGCCACCTAGAGACAGATGACATTGCAACAGACAAGATGGCCCAGAGAGCCACCTAGGTACACATGAATGTGTAGCAGACAAGGATGAGGCTGTAGACACGATGGCCCAGAGAGCCACCGAGGTACAGGTCAGTGTGTAGCAAGCAAGATGGCCCAGAGAGCCACCTGGAGACAGATGACATTGTAACAGACAAGATGGCCCAGAGAGCCACCTAGAGACAGATGACATTGCAACAGACAAGATGGCCCAGAGAGCCACCTAGAGACAGATGACATTGTAAGAAACAAGATGGCCCAGAGAGCCGCCTAGAGACAGATGACATTGTAAGAAACAAGATGGCCCAAAGCGCCACCTAGATGTTGTTGTCCTTCATCTTGTTATGGTTGCAAATATGATGGCCCAGAGAGCCACCTAGAGACAGATGACATTGCAACAGACAAGATGGCCCAGAGAGCCACCTAGAGACAGATGACATTGCAACAGACAAGATGGCCCAGAGAGCCACCTAGAGACAGATGACATTGTAAGAAACAAGATGGCCCAGAGAGCCGCCTAGAGACAGATGACATTGTAAGAAACAAGATGGCCCAGAGCGCCACCTAGATGTTGTGTCCTTCATCTTGTTATGGTTGCAAATATGATGGCCCAGAGAGCCACCTAGAGACAGATGACATTGTAAGAAACAAGATGGCCCAGAGGCCACCTAGATGTTGTTGTTTTTCATCTTGTTCTTCTTGTCCCTTTTCTTCTTGTTCTCCTTTTTTTCTTGTCGTGGGTCCTTTTATGTTTGTGTTCTCTTCTTGTTCTTCTGTCTTGCTGTTGTTCTTGTTTTTTGTGGTTATCTAATATGGTTACCTGATTTGTCTTGATAATTTTGTTTGAAGGGCTTTTGCAAACGCAGTGGACAAGCGTACACACTAGCAAGAAACAGTTTGGCGTAGCAGGAAGTTATCATGCAAGATGAGCTATAGCCTGAGCTATAACCTGATGGATGATTAATGTTTCGTATCTCTCTCCAGATCATTTCTGTTAAAGGTCTTTTTGTTGCATAGTTCCTAACAGTCTATGTTTGTGTTCTCTTCTTGTTCTTCTTTCTTGCTGTTGTTCTTGTTTTTTGTGGTTATCTAATATGGTTACCTGATTTGTCTTGATAATTTTGTTTGAAGGGCTTTTGCAAACGCAGTGGACAAGCGTACACACTAGCAAGAAACAGTTTGGCGTAGCAGGAAGTTATCATGCAAGATGAGCTATAGCCTGAGCTATAACCTGATGGATGATTAATGTTTCGTATCTCTCTCCAGATCATTTCTGTTAAAGGTCTTTTTGTTGCATAGTTCCTAACAGTCTATGTTTGTGTTCTCTTCTTGTTCTTCTTTCTTGCTGTTGTTCTTGTTTTTTTGTGGTTATCTAATATGGTTACCTGATGTGTCTTGATAATTTTGTTTGAAGGGCTTTTGCAAACGCAGTGGACAAGCGTACGCACTAGCAAGAAACAGTTTGGCGTAGCAGGAAGTTATCATGCAAGATGAGCTATAGCCTGAGCTATAACCTATGGATGATGAACGTTTCGTATCTCTCTCCAGATCATTTCTGTTAAAGGTCTTTTTGTTGCATAGTTCCTAAACAGTCCATCTCTCGGTGGGGGGGGGTCAGCCCCCCCCCAAAAAAATGGTTGGCCTCTGGGTGGCTCACCCTTGCCTGTGAGATTTGGTTCTGGCCAAGTGTCCTTCAATCATGTTTTTAGTAACACTATATATTCATTTTTACAAATTCCATATATTTAGCATTGTTTTACTTAGAACTTTTTATATTTATCTTGACCTCATCCATCCAGACGTGGGGACTGAGAGCGTCCCTTTCTGTTAAATAGCACAATGGTTCATGGACAGCCAACAGTTTCACTGACTATGGTGCGTTGAGAATGGAAATGTACGATAAGATATTGGAAGGTAATTGCAGTATGCATTGGCATGAGTGCAAGATGATTTCTTATATGTCTACCATTGCCTAGTTACATATGTTACGTACATTGATTTGTTTGCCAACATGTGCTGCGTACACCACACATGATTTCCACACGACGCGGATCTTCACACCACTCGTGGACCACGCATGTCGTTCTGCCGCAGGTGGGGGATGGATCGTGCTGAGCGAATGAGGCACGGGCGCCTGACGGTGGATGGTGCCTGGATATAAAAAATATCCCCCAGTCACCATAAGTTGGTAACCAGTCCCAAATGGGTTTATTATTGGTTTACCCTCAGTGCTGTGCAATGTGTTTTTTTTGCATTGTATCAAAAAAGTGAGGCGTCGCATTGTAAAGTTTCAATCCCTGTCGCTTCAGTTTGTCTTGGGCGCAGTGTGTTTTGCACCTCATGTCCGGCGCAAAGAACTGAACTGTACGGGTACCGATGATAATGATAACCAGGTCCTCGAAGTGGAAACCAAAAAACATAACTACGTTATACTACGTTCCTTTCCTCGCTGTTTGCTGACTTCGCACGCACACAGAACATATAATATACATATAGATATGTATATATATATATATGTCATTTGTTTATTTATTATTTTTGTTATATTTTTTTGTTGATTTGGTTTTATTTATATTTATATTATATTTATTATTTATATGTTTATTTATATTTATATTTGTTTATTAGGCATATATATATATATCGACAACATAAATGTGTATATATATATATATATTCATATATATATACATATGTGTGTGTTTTTAGTGTTTTTAATTATATTTGTTTATATTTGTTTTAGAGGTCGGCAACCCGTTTGGACAACCAAGAGGTAGATGCTACCAACCCACCCCTCCATTTTTTCCCGCCAAAACATCCAGTTTTTTGGGTACCAAAAAAGACGAATGATAATGGCCAACTGAAGCGATACGATCGGTTCTGGGTCAACTGTTCGGTCAACCCTTGGATGGGAACTTCAATATTTAGCAACGAGAAACTATGTTCTTAAGGTTGGGATAGGTTGGGCATGGATTCGATGATTCTACTGTATAACTGGATCCTGGATCCATGCGTGGGAAAATTTAAAGTCCTTATTGAATCTCAATACCCTGAATCTCAATACCCTGAATAGCAAGTCAAACCGCTGGCCACCTGGTGAACTCCAAAATAGTTGGCAAATGGATGTTCCTCCGTGCTCATCCCCCAAATAGTTTCATAAATTAAACCCATACACATACCCAAGTGTTTGATTCCCAACTTTGGGGAAACCAATAGGATTGAACCACATCCCTGCTGCCTTCAGCCGCCCAGCGAGGCAAAGCATTCAGAGTTTCGAGGGCCGCGCCGGTGCAGTGGAGGCCCTTCCGACTGTTTTCGCTGGGAAGTCCTTGGGGGGCCCACGAAAGGGCCATAAGCTGTAGGAGGCTACGTCCAAGTGGCGCCATCTCTCGCACCTTCCCATTGGTATAAGTCCGCCGTTTGTGGCCTATGGGAATAGATTGCTTTTCGCCACTGCAGTCTGAACAGCACTCTGCACAGCACCCTGCACAGCACCTTTGCAAGACTTCGCCACCGCACTAGTACAACACCCTGCACAGCACCCTGCACAGCACCTTTGCCAGACTTCGCCACTGCACTCTGCACAACACCCTGCAGAGCACTTCATTTTTTGGGACATCTCATGAACATGCTTGTTGAGGTTGTTTACAAAGTCACTAGTTACCTATTATATCATAATTGCTATGTGGGCCTGCCGTGGCCCACCACATTGAACGAGGAACCGCAGAGCCGGTACCTGGGGTTCGTAGCCATGGAGGGTTGAGATCTGGAGCCAAACCTCGCCCCCCAGTTCCTAGCGATCCAATGAACTTCCAGGATCATCCCAGTGATGGTTGGCAAAATGTGTGGCAAAATGGGATCTATTCCCACGTTGTGTTCAAAAATTCAGGGGCTTATTCATCCAAGGAACCGCCTCTCATTTGGCGTCCAGGATGTTTCAGGGATAAGCCCACTGATGTTGACTTTCCATCCTCAGTCTTTCTGGAATCTCAGATGCAAAGTCGGGTACAGTTGTAAGTCGGTTTGCAAATCCAGCCAACTGCAGATATTGTCAGCATTTGCCAGCATAAACTCTAGTTACGTAGCCAGTTATGAACCGTCCTACGGATCTAGGCATCCCTTTCTTGCAGTCCCACATTTCATGGGGATTCAACCGCTTCACCGCACCCCGGTGCCCTTAAAATCGTGGTTGCTGGTGGCTAAGAGTCGCCCGGACATGATTCGCCTTCAATAAACGATCCTTGGGGGGGTCACGGGTCACCTTTCAAAGCGGCTTATCCCAATGCCATTATATATATATCCTAATATATCCTCATATATCCTCATTCTATCCCATAAAATGGTTGGTTGTCTACTTCCGTCTTTGTAAGATCCGCTGTTTGTAGGGCCACCGCCACAGGCTGAACGTCATGACGCCGAGCGTGAGGCCGAGCGTGACCCCAAGCAGACGCCGTCCAGACGACGGAGGAAAACAGTCCCTGGCACGGGAAGATGAGAATGGAGGGAGTTGAGTCTGTGCCTGGTTTGTTGTGGAAACTTGCCACTGCATTGTAATTGTAATATATCATTTTGTTATATCTTATTTTATTATATTATATGTTGGAATAGTTGTTTATTTAATGTATATATATATATATATATATTATTGTAATATTCTATATAATATATATTTATTTTATTAGTTTATATTCATTATAACTAACGTACTATATTGTATTATGCGTTTGATGTTCGATAATATTTATGGCGGTGCATTACATGTGCAATTTGGTAATCATAGAGTTCCATGGGTCAAAGTTGTGTCGAAAAAGCGCATGGTTGGTCGGTCATATGCTACAAATGGACCGTCAATGATAAGAATCTATTGCTCCCCTCCCAGATCCACGATTGATTTTAAAGTTCCCAGGGTTGATTCAGGCTTTAGCCGAGCTGACTACGCCTGTTTCCATGGTTGGGAAATGTTGGGAACATATCTAATCTTTATGTATACTGGATACCTACATATAATGAACATAATTGAACAGAACATCGATATATACTGTATTTGTTTTAATTCACACAAAAATGCAGAATGAATAAACTGACCTGAGTTCCCTGGACCTTGCGTGCTCGCGTCCAGCCAGCAATTTTTAGATTGTCAGCTTGTTAGGTCGTGTCACTCTAAGTTCCAATTCGGAACAGAAAACCTTTTGCAGAAGGACTTGCAAAAGCCCACCCAAAGAGTAGAACCCATTGTTAGGGCTGCGACACAAAAATTCCAAACTGTAGGAAATAAACTCTTCCTGATTTGCTCCCTTTTGCGGATATGTGTGCCCGTTTCCGCGTTTTTTGCGCCAGTTTTGCGGTGAAAACTGCCTGGTGCTTCTTGATCATATATCTTTGTAGGACCTTTGTAGGATGTGAAAACCATAAAACGAAGGGCTCCATTGACATCAGGCTGGCAAGTGGTTCAAAATACGAGACCCATTAACGTCCATCAGGACTATCATCCTTTGACACAATTTGGATCACCCAGAGTGAGCTTGCCGGTAATTGTGGGAACATGTAGGAACGAATGGCTGAACCGGCTAAACCGACCAGACATCAATAAATCTGTAGCATTTGGCAGTGGCAAATCAGGACATGTGGCTAGCTTCTCCGAGATTTGTCTGTTTGACACAAGATGTATCAACGTTCCAAAAGAGCAAAACATACTACCCGTTTGAAGATCCAGGTGTAATTATTCAATTATCATCGTACATTCGGGCTTCATGGTTCAACAACCCAGTCGCGTTCAGCCACTCCCTAGGTCTTCAATGCTGCTGATGTGGTGCCCATTCCGGAGCTTCCTCAGAATCAACTTGAAGATCTCTTTGCTGCGCGCGCCGCGACGCGCTTTGTCAGATGCAGCTGCGTCAGGTTTGGGTCACCCATGGTTTTTCGGGACTATAGGAACCAAAAAGATAGAAACGTTTTAGCTACCCCATGGATCCCTATGGGAATTTAACATAGCTACGGAAAAACACCAAATTCAGGAGGTACACACACACACACATACATATATATATATATAGATAGGTAAATCAACCATAAATGGTTCATTTTCCGCTATTTTAAACAACCAGATGCTATCTTTTTGGGGATTGCTGTGGGTCACAACCGTTTGTAGCGCTGAATTTCCACATCCACCAAGGTTCGACATCGGTGCGCGCTCAGCCAGCACCAGCGATGTGAGTTCGTTGATCGCGGCTTGCTGCGCATGTCGTGGGTCTGTCATCGGGCCATGGTTGAAACCAATACCCATGGTTTAACATTTACCATCAACAAAAACCCCAAATGTTAGCATATTTACCATACATGGATCCTATGGGATATGTTCCTTTTCCATGTTTTGTTGGAATGGGTTTGTCCGAAAATGCTTGCGATACCGAATTTCTAGAACAGACATCCCAAAATTAACATAGCATTAGATGTTTTTTAAAGTGTGAACATGATGATCAACTATAGGATGAAAAGAACACAACAACCCAAACATGAATTCGGGTGCATGTCATATCTTGTGAAGAAATGAGCAAACAATTGGAGGGCACGCAGCCATGCCATGCACCAAGCTCAGGTTGATAGCACGCATCAGCGGATCCTGGACTTGATGGTCCGTAGTGAGGCCATGCAACGACAGCGGGAAAGTGGCAACATCCGCAACGCACCGTGGCGAGTGCAGGTTGTAGGTTGCCAGTTGGCCCAATGCGAATGTCAGATGATTTTCTATTCAAAAATGGGTTGCCTATGGGTTCTTTTTCTTTTTCACCAATTTTTGGGAAAACCCGGGAAAGCCGGAAAACCAGGGGAAAGCGGGGAATTTGTGTGGATTGGATATATGGGAAAGCCAGGGGAAAGCTCCGAATTTGATGGTTCAGATGTTTCCCTATCATTTGATGGCTATAGACTGGGGTATCTCTCACGGGAAACCTTGGAGCATCTTTTTTTTCCACCATAAATGGATGAATAAGATGCTCGAGGGTAGCCATGCAAAGTGACACTTCATGTGTGTGAGGGAATATGGCTACACCCTACCGCAATTAAAGATTCACCCTGCGATGGGGAGCGTTTGCGTTTCCCTTTCCCGCGATGTAGTTGTTGACTCCATGAATTGTGTTGTTACATCCCTAATTTTTGTGCTGTTAAATCCACCATTTCTGACAATTTCTGCTGGTAAATCCAGCATTTTTCGCCTCGCTGCCTTTGAGGATGCGGTGGAACACGCGGTGACTGAGCTACTGGCCACACTGCAGAGTTGCGACTTTTCCCGTCTCACACGCTCGGTGCTCAACGCGACTCGTGCGTTGTGGGGGGACGGGCTTTTGAGTTTTTTCCCCCGATGGGGGGTTATCTACCAAAACCGAGTAATTATACTGGCTTCATGTTTGAACTACATGCTTAAATCCACGCATGTTCGGTATAATGATCCTGGATGACTTAATATTTTCTTCGGATGGAAACAATGAATCATTGTCGAAAAGTGTTACATAGTGATACTAATTTTAGTTAACGGATATCCCCGGTCATAATATGGGGTCTTTAAACGATGGATTACCCGCGTGGATGAACATCCAAGTATATAATGCTGGGGACCCAGCATGAAAAGATCCAATGCCCAAGCAATGCTTTGAGCCTGGGGGCAATATGGGGCAATTATTGTATTCTTGATATTACGGAGAGGGGATTAACATTGAACCCAAGAATTGGATGCTGGCAATGTGTGGAGAGATGATTTTCCGGACTTGGACATTGCTGGGGCCCATGACGGTCCATGCAAGTTTCCTAAGGGATTTCAGACATGTAACATGGACAGATGGTGGGAGGATTCATGAGGCTTCCAAACGGATGGTTCCTGCAGGATCCAGTTGCAGCAAACAGCTGGATATAGCCGCTACGAAGGACCAGGCTCCCCCAAGCAGTGAACTTTTATGGTGTCCACCCTCTGGTAATCAAACATGGTGATGGGAAACCCACTATTAGATTTCGATTAAAACTAAAACATCTAAAATCAATATAATATACATCCTCCATCTATACGGAGTTTGGTATAGAGCTTGGGGTTCGTGTACAACACTGGCAACTGGAATTTCAGCTAGCTTGCTTCACCAACCCTTCTTCCCCAGCTTCGGAGACTTGACAAAATTTGCCAGCATGTGGCATTCAAGCTTTGAAGTTGATTTTCCATGTGTTTCCGTGCCATAAGGATTCATAGTTGGGAGGTTTACTACACCTTTCTGCTATTTCCCAGGCCTTCAATTTACCGAAGAAAATTGGATGTATAGTTATGTAGGGCTTATTCACCCCAAACACATTGAGACGTTCACCGGTTCTCCATCCAAGATCATCCACAAATGGTATATGATGGTATATTTTTGATTATTGGACATTTACCTTCAAAAACACCCCAAACAAATAAGTGTAATACATGTAAATATTTGTCATACCTTGACGTTGCATGGGGGCAATGATACCACCATTCCATCCACATTAAACCATATTCATTGGCTAAATCCCAATGAAAATGTTGATCCAAACACATTTTTTTCACCATTAAGGATAACAAAAGCCTCAAGAAAGTCAGTGGCATCTGAGGATCTGCGAAAGGTGGTGGTGCACCACTTGGAAGGTGGTCACAACATCCTCTCCTTCGTCGAAAGCCGTGGGGTCGAGGCTCTCTCCAGGCCGATGGCGACATTTTTCCAACGGGGGCTAGTAGGGGATCATCTCGAAATCAATTATATATGTTCATTCTTGTCTTGGTTGGTGTCCTATAATCAAACTAGATTTGTTTGCCAAAATAAGATGGAATATGAGAGGTGTTGGTTGGTGGTGTGTTCTCAGTGACCTTAGTGATTTCGACATGTTTTTAAACAGCCAAACGTTCATACTTTCCATCCTGAAGAGCAATGGTTCAAAAGCATCAACAGGTCCTCCATGCTTCTATGGAAGGTTCACTAGCTGCAAAACATAAAACTATGATGGCCCGTTGATCGTTCAATTTTCTGTATTTGCGATTGCTACAGTGGGGCCGATGATGCCCTTTTTTGACATTTTTAACGTGGACTTTGGGGCTACCAATCAGATCCAATCAGATCCCGGCGTCGCATGGCGTCGCCAGGTTGGAACATCCGCATTTGCACCAGCTGCTCTACGGTGTCCTTCGGATCCCAGGGATTTCCACCAGGCGATTCGGAAGGGATGCGAGATAAAATAGGGACATAACTGGACTATAGATATGGCTATTGATATTGATACACACATATAAATATAAATAGATCTATCGTTATATGTATAAATGTGAGTTTTTCCCCACCTGCTAGGTGAGGGTTGTTAGATTTTATGTCAGTTGCCTCCTCCTGCCTCCTGCCTCCTGCCTCGTCCTCCTCCTCCTCCTCCTCTCCTCCTCGTCCTCCTCGTCCTCCTTGTCATCCTTGTCGTCCTTGTCGTCTCGTCCTTGCTCAACTGCGACCCGCGATCCACAGTGTTCTCTGCCGGACCTCAACCACGACCAGCCACGACCAGTGTTCCCTGCCGGACCTCAACCACGACCAGCCACGCCCAGTGTTCCCTGCCGGACCTCATCTGCGAGTATCCATGCCAAGTGTTCCCTGCCGGACCTCAACCGCGAGCCAGAAGATATGCCAGATAGATATGCCAGAAGATATTCCAGAAGATATGCCAGATAGAATGCCAGATAGAATGCCAGATAGATGCCCAGATAGAATGCCAGAAGATATTCAGATATGCCAGAAGATTGCCAGAAAGATATGCCAGAAGATATTGCCAGAGATATGCCAGAAGATATGTCAGAATATATGCCAGAAGATATGTCAGATAGAATGCCAGAAGATATGCCAGATAGAATGAGATTTGCCAGATAGAATGCCAGAAGATATGCCAGAAGATAGGCCAGATAGAATGCCAGAAGATATGTCAGATAGAATGCCAGAAGATATGCCAGATAGAACTTGCCAGATAGAATGCCAGAAGATATGCCAGAAGATATGCCAGATAGAATGCCAAATAGAATGTCAGAAGATATGTCAGATAGAATGCCAGAAGATGTGCCAGTAAGAACATGTATAAATGTCATGGTGGGGATCACACAAAGTAAAGTAATTTCTTTATTGATTATCTTTTATATTAATTATATATATATATACACACCTAATGTCTCGCATCTATTACCCCTTGATAATTAAACATTGCAATTGAAACTCACTTTTAGTGAGATTTTCCATGGCCATGTCAAATTACAAGAAGTCTACTCTTCGACAACTCGTTCACCCTCACATCTCGACAGCCACATGAAGCTGGTGACAGATGCAGAGCCATTTCATTTTTGTAGCGGCCATCTTGCCGCAGCCTCGAAGCCACAGGGAATCAAGCTGGTTCCATTTTTTGGGGTGGAAGAAATGTGTTTAAATGCAATTTTCTTGCTGTATTTTTTCGCCATATTCACAGACACCACAAGATTTCCTTTTGGTGATGGACCTCTACAATTTGGCAGCCCACTCCACCCCCTTTTAACATCTTTTAACGGGATATGATGTCCCCCAAATAGGGGATGATGGTTTGTGGCATGGCTCAGAGATGGCCAACCAACGGGCTTGCAGTATCCATAATACAGTATGTGATCCATATGAATGTGTGACTCTGGTCATGTGTTGCCTGTTTTGTCCTGTTTTCTTTGGCCCAGAAGTAGGCTGGAGTGCATGGATTTGGTCGCCAAATTTCCCGCTGAACTGGAGAGCTGCCGCGAAGACTTGCAGCCTCTTGGGCTGGTGGAGCTGGGGGTGTCAGCTGGGTTGGACAATGTGAAACAACTACAACCGTAAACAATTGAAACCCACTTATAACATGTTATAACAATGGGACCAATGGCCAGTTGTTACAGTTGTTCCATTTTTTGTTTGCAAACTTCAGTTCGCAACACTTGGTAATAATTGTTTGTTGTTTTATATAGATGGTTCTTATTTTTCTGTTGTGCAACGGTGGGGTGGCAACAAGATGTGGCGTATGGCCACCGTTTTGGGTTGACTAGTTCCAGGATGCATGTAGGTCAGTATGTAACCTGGTTGGTTCGCTCAACCTTCAACGGGTAGCTGGGTATTATGAACATTCATCTGGATAAATTCTTGTCCACCAACCGAAAATAAGGGTGGGGATGATTGCAAACCATCATTCTCACAATGCATCCAGAGATATCCAGATTATGTATCTCCATTTATCGCAGGGTATGCAAGAGCCAATCCGTGTGACTGTTCTCCCCAGGATCCTGCGCCGTGCTCTGCTACAAATCCGTCTCTTGGCACTAAAAAAAAATCCCTGACGCCTTGGATGTTTAATCGAAGGGTGGCTGGAAAAGAGGCATTTATATATATATATATATATGTAAAGTGGATGTTGCCAAAGATTGTTGAAAAGAGAGGATGATGAGGATGCGCATGTAGCAATGTAGGAATGGTATTGAGTATATAGGGTATCCTGAAAACCATGCAAGCCCGATCAATCATGGCTTGCAGGAGGCCATCACACATTGTTTTACCATGTCTTACCCTTGGTATGAGATTTGTAGACTACAGTAGTCCAGCTTGATGGTACGCTAAAACCATTTGAAACCAATTTGTTCTGTGATAGCTTCATCATGTTGGTATACTTCCCAGTTCTTGGGGTAGCAAGCAATACGTTCCTTTTTTAAATCCAACATCCCCAATTCGGTGATACTGCGAATTGAATTTTGTTAAACATTACCGTTTTTGATGGACTGACATTGGTGTCACTTTCTTGTTAACTTGGTTAGTTGTACTTATATGCTTTCTGAAATCTTGTTGATGGATACTATGGCTTCCCTGTTTTGGGCTCAGTGAAAGTCTGATTAAGTCTGTCTCACAAAACCAGACATGATGCAGGTTGACTTCCTTGGTTAAAGAAAGACCAGTAGCGCAAGATCTTGCGCAAAATGACAAGGGAAAGGTTCCGCATGGCATGAGAAATATCTAAGCCAGATATCCTGGCACTTCTTTTGCCGCACAGAATCGGGAGAAGTCAGAAAGAGAGACCGCCCCTTCCACGTTTGAAACTTTTAAAGACCCAGCAACTCCTCAACAAAAATAGACTAATTATGATAAGTAATGATGGTGCTAGATAAATGAACGAACCAACTGATCAAAAAAAATACATTTGATTTTGCTCTTTCATTGCATGCTAGTTTCATGAATACCTACATAGAATTCGGGACACACATATATATATATATATGTATGTATATACAATTATATAGATACATGATTGTATTAACTAAATGATTGTCAACTACAATGACAATTCACCGCGTTTTCAGGCGATCGGCAGGCGGCCTTCCGGTCCTTTTGGAGCATGGCCATGCACCTGGGGAACACATTGAATGGCTCGGCGGCCGGAGGCTTTCGACTCAGCAGTCCCTGGGTGCCTAACATGAGTGGAACGTGGTGGAACCAATGGTGGGCAGATGGTGGATAATTCGTCTGAGACTGGAAGCAACAATCTCCACGAATATGAATATACATATGTAATTTACACGTCATACAATATTATATACAGACACACACACACACATATATATATATATATGTATGCGTGTCTGTGGGTGTGTGGCCTGCACGTGATGCAACTAGTGAAAACAGCGATGTTTCCCATGTCCTGAGAGAGTTGATCCAGTGGGCTGGTGAGAGCTGCTGGAGGTATCAAGACAATGGATCCGCCAACAGATTCCTTAAAAAATGGTAGTTGAAACTTAGCTGAAACTGTTGAACTGGAGCGAAGAAATCAAGGGTGTTTTTTTTTCATTTTGCTGATTATCTGCCCACTTGTGCTAGCATTCCATTTCGGCTGAGGTCTCTCCAAACTGCTGGACTTGAAATCACCTGATCGGAAAGAGATCTCGGGCAGCATTGTCTTCCTCCGAAACAAATGCCGTGAGGTGTAGTTTCCAATGGCTGAGTAGGTCATGGTATGTCCAACACTTGGGAAGGGGAGGAGCAAAACCATGCTGGAGTTCAAACGCCAATTGCTTAATTGCTGGCAAGTTTGTTTGAACAAGAAGTGTTGATCTCTTACCTAGATTTAGATAAGCGACATGACCAGAAACGATTGCAATCGACCCAGATCCTGTTTTTGAAATCCAAATATCAACTCATCCCATTTCCCTGGGTCAAGCTTGGATGGCTTAGTTTTGCCACAATTGGGGATGTTGATTTAAATCTCATTTTGTTGCGTTTTTATGCTGGTAAATTCCATTTTTTTCACAAAATAAATCACGAAACATCCCACGTGTTGTTAAACCATGAAACATCCCACATGTTAGAAACATCAGAAACATCATTTCTATTATTGGTAAAAAACATGTTTGTCTGTTTTTTTCATGGCCCGAAGAAATTCGCAGCCCAGGATGACCTTCTTCCACTTCGTCCTGCTACAGCTGCCCCCCGCTACCGTGGAGGCCCTGACAGATCTGGAGCTGTTGAATGCTCTGAAGACGGCCAGCAGCAAGCGAACCCACACGGTGCCGCGGCAGATTGTGGAAACGTGGTGGATGCGGGGATCAACTGAAGGGGTGCTGGTGGATGGAAGAAATCCTGCACCACCTTGGTTGATGGGATAAACCACCTAGCAGCTGGTGCAGTATTTCTTCCATCAACTGGTCCCCTGTGCCCACCTTCATGGTCCCTATCCTTTCCGTGAGTTGAATGACGACAAAGACAAGCGTATCTGAACATGTTGTCAGATGAATGCCAATGCCTATCAATCTACTATATCCTACTTGTCTACGTTTTGCCTTTGTACCTACCATTCCAGACTTTGCCGTATTGTATGTGTTCAGGTTATTTTATAGTTTTTCTTCGGGGAGCGTGCCGCGTGCCAGTTAATCATTTGAATCGGCTGCAGGTTCATCAGGATGTGCTGGCCCCTTGGCATCATGTAGGATGTCAGGTGCCTAGGGGCGCCCCACTGCGACCTTACTGGGAATGGTTGTTAGGTATGTTTATGTCATTGTTGAACTCTTACGTGTTCATATATATCATATCCTTTCCAGTCTGCCAGTTTCCGGAAAACCGCGGAGTCTTTTCCATGATCCATGGGCAAAGGCATAGCAATTAATGCGTGGAGTTGAGGCATGCAGTTTCCATAGCGGTCAAACGTGGTTGCGTGACCCCATGAAATTCCATTCCGGTTGGACTTAATTAAGCTCATTTGCTAAAAATAGTCATGGAAGATATGGATGTCTGATGTCCACGTGGAAATCCCACCACATAATGCAGGTTCAAACATTGCTATCACCACGTTGACCTTCTTTACTTCCAGAATTCCGAGTTTGTTCATTTGTTCAAAGCCACCTCTGCCATTTTTGTGCAATTAATTGCCATCCTGTTCACATGCTCCATTCCGGATGGCAACATCTTGTAACTTCGTGCCGTGGCGCACACACACACAATGCACCTGGGCAAACACCCCAAGCAAAAGCCAAATCCAACTGCAGATTTATTGTCTATCTATCTATCTATCTATCTATCTATCTGTCTAACTATCTATCTGTCTAACTATCCAGCTATCTATCTATCTATCTATCTATCTATCTATCTATCTATCTGTCTAACTATCTATCTGTCTAACTATCCAGCTATCTATCTATCTATCTATCTATCTATCTATCTGTCTACCTATCCATCTATCTATCTATCTATCTATCTGTCTATCTATCTATCTATCTATCTAACTATCTATCTATCTATCTATATTGTATATATGTTGCAACCTTGTAATCCCCTTTAAATATAGATATGTCCGGTTATGTAGTTACTATATCATACTGTATACATATATATATATACACCCCTTATAAACTGAATTAAATATATATGTTTATAATTAGATATATCACATAGTTATCAAAATAGTTCCATAGTTATTTTAACATCTATCATGCACCTATTCATTATCACATCCATTTTTAACCATAAACTATCATACAGATACGCACTCATGTTTTGTTCAACAAAACAAGCTACATTAGTCGATTGTAGAAACATTTGTCTTAAAGGACTGTTGTGGCCGCCTCTTTTTTAACTATTGTTGTCAAGTTTTTAATTAACCATGAACTATTTCACTGGGAAACCTACACAAAAAAGTCATGAATAACTCTTGAACCATTGTTTAGCCAAATGTCTTGCAATTTTATTTGGTAAGTTCCAGGCAGTCTTGACAAATGTCATGGGACACATATGAAATTATTTCGTGAGAAACATTATTTGCAGCCTTTACCAAGTTTTGAAAAGGATCTGAAACTTTAGCAGCAATGGCCCTCAGGTTCATTTCATCAAAGTATCTTTGGTTCAGTTAGTGGTCTGCCTAAAAGGTCTTGCATGTGTATATATACTTTTTCTTTCTAAGTTGTCATCCTTGAAAATCACAAATTTTCTTGCAGCAGCAGTTCAAAATCTCAAGCTTTCAGCTTTCCAGGCATGTCAAAATCATTCAAAATCTGTAGATTTTATGCAGTTTATATGCAGTTTATATGTAGTTTATATGCAGTTTATATGCAGTTTTCAAAACTGCATATAAACTACATGTAGTTTGGTCAAAACTGCATATAAACTACATGTAGTGAAACTGCATATAAACTGCATATAAACTGCATATAAACTTCATATAAAATTTATATGAAAATTCAAGGGCTGACATGTGGTTTTTAAGGATTTTGATTATACATTTGGACTTGATTCCACTGATTCCCAAACCTTTGGACACCAATATGGACATATAAAATTCATAGTGTGATGCAATCAAAACTGGCAATGCCAGCAACTTGTTTCCTTTCCCAAAACTTTGAAACAATTGCAAGTGCAAAGGCCCAGTGCACTTGTTTACAAAAATGATTTGAAGAATCATAAAAGGTTATTTCTGTTCACAAGTAAGTAAGCATCTCTAAAGATCCAAGATCATCATATGTAAATCTCAAGTAAAGAGGTTTCAAGGAACCATAAAAGATTCTTTTGGCTCACAAGGAAACATCTGTACAGGCCCAGGATCATCCCCTACACATGTAAATCTCAAGTAAAGATGCTCTAATATACCACAAAAATCCAAGAACATCACATGTAAATCTCAAGTAAGGATGTTTTAGGCAGGACAATACAAGTTTCTGTTTGTGTTCACAAGTAAACATCTGTACAGGTCCAAGAACATCACATGTAAATCTCAAGTCAAGAGGTTTTAAACAAAACAATAAACTTCTTTGTATTCACAAGTAAGCATTTGTACAGATCCAAGAGCATCACATGTAAATCTCAAGCAAGAATCTTTGGAGGAAACTGTCAGTGAACATATAGAGATTGAAGTGCTAGCTACTATTGGAAAAATGTATATGGAAGATCCAAAACTGTTTCAAGTATCCCCAGGTTTTTGCCTGCAACAAAGAAGCATGTTTCAAATGTTATGGATGCTTGGTCCCAAAATGGTAAAAAGACAATGATATGATCTTTACATGAACCTGCGCCTGGCATAAAGTACTCAGGCTTTGTTTGGAGGGTCACTTGATGGATCCTTAATTGAAGAAACTTCTATGTGCCAATCTTTACTTGTGGATTCAAACAATATGGTATATATTTGATGGATCCTTACTTGAGGAAACTTCCATGTGCTAATGCTTACTTGTGGATTCAAACGACATGGCCTATATTTGATGGATGAGCAGGGAATATAGAAAATTAGCTAACCACATGTTGGAAATTAGTAGTTAAATAGATCTGATGATCTTAGATTAACTTGCTTCAGTAGTCCAGACACAGAGAGAGCGGCGCTAAAAGCCAATAAAGGCAGATGACCAGAGAATATAGAAAATTAGCCAACCACATGCCATAGCTTCAGGAGTCCAGACACAGAGAGAGCGACGCTAAAAGCCAATAAAGGCAGATGACTAGGGAATATAGAAAATTAGCCAACCATATGTTAGAAAGTAGTAGTTAAATAGATCTGATGATCTTAGATTAACTTGCTTCAGGAGTCCAGACACAGAGAGAGCGGCGCTAAAAGCCAATAAAGGCAGATGACCAGAGAATATAGAAAATTAGCCAACCACATGTTAGTACTTAAATGTTAAATAGATCTGATGATCGTAGATTAGCTTGGATTAATCTGGATTAATCTGGATTAATCTGGGACCAAAAAAACAAAAAAAAACAAAAAAAACAAAAAAACCAAAAAAACCAAAAAAAACAAAAAAACCAATGTTTTGGAGACTAGTCTAAAGATAGCCCTGATCCAAGTAGTCCTGAAAACATTGTTTTTTTTTTGTTGTTTTTTTTGGTCCCAGATTAATCCAGATTAATCCTTGGGGCTTGAACAGATATCAACACACAAGTTATCGGAAGGGAATGTTGTGACACCCAAATCTCACAAGAACACAAGTTATCGGAAGGGAATGTTGTGACACCCAAATCTCACAAGAAGTATTCTTTATACATATTAAGTGTGAGATTTGGGCGGCCACAACAGTCCTTTCTGTAAATCTATTTATCTCTATTTATCTCTATTTATCTCTATCTATGTATCTTTCTATTTATCTAATCTAATTTTACAGTTATCTATGTCTATATAATTATCTATATATATATATAGCATACAGATATACATAGATTAATGCAAACATCTTCCGAAATCTACGCGAGGTCCACCTGGATGGCTTCCGACGGCTGGAAGGCTTGGTGGCCACCGGCAGCTTCAAGGGCGAAAGCCGCCGGTTGTGAAAATTAGGGACCACGGGGGGACGAGAGCCTCCATGTGGCATCTGTTTATATCCACAGGTCATATCTGGTGATATTTAAAGTATCTCTATTTATAGGATATCTATACCTTTAAAGGTCATATCTAGTTAATTAATGTTAATTATATCTATAATGATTATAATGGGGCCCTGGCACGGGATATGATATAGGAATCTATATGTTATATCTAGTTACAGGCTCTATGATTGAGGTATGATTTGTGAGTTTGGGCTTTACATGTCATGTTGGGCTAAGTTTCGAGTTCACAATTCAGTAGGGACATATTCTACCACAAGCGATTCCAGCGGATTGGGGCCAACATCAAACAGATGATCTTGGTGACTGCTAGTTGGGATGGGACTCAAGGTATGTTGACGATGGCATTTGTTTTCACGCGTGCTAAACTGAACTGAGTGTGGAGTGTCGTTACACGATGTTTTTTGTGTGTTTTTTAAAGACGGCCTTTTGATTTCCAACATGTTTTTAATTGATCATGGTGGCATCATAGTTGATGAGTCAATAAGATTCAATAAGAACCGCCAGGGATCGATGTTGCCTGAGGCATCCCAGCGATGGATGGCGATCCTTTCCACCGGGCCATGGCGGAGACTTGGCCAAGGGACCATAGGGACCATAGGGACCAGCCGGTGTTGAGGCTTCCATTGATGGAGAAGAGACATAGTACGAGACGAATCGTAACTAACCATGTTGAGTCTTGATATGTGTGATATAGGTTATATCAGGTTATATCTATATCTAGTAAAGAAAAGTGAACCATTATTGCAGATGCTGCGTTTTTCTGCCGGGCGGGCATGCGCCAGCGCATTCGAGAAGGTCTGACAGTTCTCAAACGTGATTCTAAAATCTTACATGGAAGATTTATCAAAATCTTTAGCACCCCCCAACATAGACCCTGAGAATCACCCATATTTGGAGGAAAGTAGTCTTCCAACCCCCTATTTAAGGCGAAGTTTATGTTGTGGGAATGGAATATCACCATTATATCCCCATTGTATCTCATGATAGCCTCATTACATCCCCACTACATTATATACACAAAATCATTAAATCCCAAGTGTATCCCGATTACCCTTTAGTCAAACGTAGCGACGTAGCAATGGGAAATCCCCGAACTAAATGGCAGTTTATAGCTGGCAAAATCATCGAACTATTGCTGGAGGATGTTCCAGCAAACCACTGAGGATTTTGTCAGGGAGTCCCAGGGCGCATGTGCCGAGCTGTGGGCTTCCAGCATGCAGGTCTTCCAAAGCTATCGATCCTTGGGCCGATGAACTTTGCTTTCATGGAAAAAAGCACAATTTTCAGATGTTGTTAAATGATGTTTTTGAAGTTATCCCTTTTGTTCTGGGTGTTTGATGGGTTTTTGGTGGGTTAGGCGTTTCTGGGAACTATCCTTCGCTAATGATTGTATTTTTGAAACAGGGTACAGTCTCGATTAATCTGGGTTTGGCCATGTTTCCCTCATGCTGTTACCTCATTGTCATTGCCTGTCAAATGGGGGGTATAGGTTTTAAACTAGACGGTGTAGATTTAAGATCACGCAGGCCACCCGATTTCTCAGCCCACTGAGACGCAGGTGGTTCTGCTGGCTTCTATCGATTACTTTTACTGAAATACGGAATCTCCCAGATCGGCATGGGAAAAAAGTTATGGAGGCCTTGGAGCCCACAGATTGGCTATTTTGATTCTTATTAGGAGTAGGCGCCAGCATGAAACCCAGTGGTTTCCTGACGCTGCATCTGGACGGTGCTAGGAAATGCCTGCCACCTGAAATGTGGATTAGGTGCATGGCAACTTCGGATCCAAAACGATGTGCCAGTGATGTTTGGAGTGAGCCTATGTGAGTTGCCACCCAGAAAAAGTGTGATCAGCCCGGTTGGCTTTAGTTGTGGCCCCTTAAAAAGGCAACGGATGGCAACGGACCCATCCGATCCATCCGATCCATCCTGAACATTGAGGCGACATGGGGATCTTCTTCCAAGACCTGTCCTATGTCTACCCTCCTCCCGGAGGGGCGGAGGAGGATCGGCGGAAGGACCTCTTCGGAGTGCTGGGCAACTTCGTTGCGGAGTGCGCCAAGGCGCAGCAAGAGATCGAAGCTTGACGTGGCTCAGGGGTCAATAAAAATGGAGAAAAATGGGGGATCCACAGATCATCCGACACCTCATGGAGGTTGAATCTCGTCAAGAAAAAACAAAGACATGGTAACCAATATATGTTTAGTATTTTATAATTATATGTTATATATATATATATGTAACAATATTAATTGCAGTAAAATCAAGTAATACCCCAACATAATGTGGATTGTGGAATTGCTTGTGGGTGATTATGGGTATGGCAACATATTCCGAAATGTTTGCATCACATCCAGGCATCCGAAGGTTTCTAATGGATTTTCTGCTTCGGTTGCATGGTTGCCATCAGGGAAGTCGTATTGGGGTCTTCAATGTCGACCTAAAACCTGGGGAGAACAAAGTCACGTTGAAAGGGGCGAATGGCTTTGAAAATCTTTGAAAAACCCACTAGGACTGAATGGACTCATGCATGCCACTGTCCAGTGACCGTGCTGTTTGTGCTCTAGAAGTCTCGGATGTTTCCTCGGGTTGCTAAGTGGTTGGAAAGTGCTTCATGACAACTAATCACAGTCACACACGATAGCTATAAATGTAGGGAGGCAATGGGATGCCAGCTGCCCAAGGATGGATCGAAGGATGGAGCTATGGGTTTCTTGGGTCGAGCGGATCCTCCAAAGGGGGGAACCTCACTGGCCACCTCACTGGCCACCTCACTGGCCAACCCTGTTTTGTGACTAGGGCTACAGTATATCCATGCACAACAACACCTAGGAATCCAATCCCATTAATTACAGTAAACCATGATAATATCCTTAGCATTGGGAAAAACAATTCCAACATTAGAACATTATTATAGAAACATATAAATCCGTTGATGCTTTACATATTAGGATATAAATCCATCATAGCAAAACCCATGGTTTTTCCAATGGCGCTTCGGGATTTTCCAAGGTTTGGGTGTCCAAGTGCTGGACGTGGGAAGTTCTTCTAGACTTTGTGCAGGTCCAGGTTCCTTCGGGAAATGTCCGGCAGTTGAAGACATATCAGAAGAGGGAAAGTGATGATTAACCAGCGGATGGACTTTGGGTACCCTATACTTGGACAAATCCATATTTGTTGCTGAATGAACGGTGTTTTGATACGAATATGCTGATATGCGTTTAATATATATATATATATAAATATGTGTGTGTTTTTATAAATGCCGCAAAGAAATACGAAATCATAATGCATCGTTCGAGTGCTGTAAGTGTTGCCCAATTCTTGGGACGTGTTTTGGATATCATTGATATCATGCAGGAAGGAGGAGAGGGAGAGGGAGAGAGAGAGAGAGAGAGAGAGAAAGAGAGAGAGAGAGAGAGAGACAGAGATAGAGATAGAGATAGAGAGAAGAGAGAAGAGAGAAGAGAGAGTGAGAGAGAGAGAGAGAGAGCCCCGTGTCTTTTTAAAGCCACAAGTACCAGTCCCAACTAACAACTTCACTTACAGATAGGCTTTCCGTTTTCCGTTCTGTTGTCACTATATAGTCAGTTCCTGCCAAAATGAAATTGGACCCTTGAATACTAAATCAGGTATGCTACATGTTTTAATTATCCCGCAAGATGCGTTACTCAATATGAAGTGAGCATGATTTCCAGGATGAGTGAGGAACAAGCAAATCCCAATTTTCCCAGCCACCAAAAAAACGGTGCGCCCGTGCACGAGGCGCCGCGCGTGTACGCGGAGAATTCGAGACTTCGTCAGTGCCGCTGGACTGCACCAAGGACGAAGCACCTAACCAAACCATTCAAATAGAAACCATAGAGTCTATATTGGATGCATCTATTGCTGACTTGGGAAGATTTGGGAAGCATGGAGGAGTCTGAGGAATGTAAACAAACTCTAGTGCAATACACTATCAATTGTTAGCAGAATTATGCTACAGATAGCTGTGCTTAGAATGTTTCCGGAGGGAAGTGAAGCAACCTTCACATGTTCTCAGCCGAGGGAGTTTATCAGCTCCTCGCATTCAAGTTTCGATTATTCGAGCCACACGGTCGCAAGTGTTTGGAATTTGGTCCCAATTGCCCTCCGGCAATCGAACATGGCTTGCTGGAAAATCCACCAGCATTAGTTGATGATTTTCCCAGCTATATATATATGTGTGTAATTATACACGTCCGTTTAGTTTTTTGGATTTTGCAGCTAGCCATGTTTGATGACAACGGAGGAATGTTTACTGGAATTTCCAAATGGATCATGTGTCAACGCTGAAATGCTCAGCGGTGTCATGTTCAGGCGACCGGCCCAGAAGTGCACGGAATTAGTGGATTCCAAGTAGAAGCATTGCTGCATTCTTGCTAATTACTATCAATGGATGCAACCCAACATGGTCGTATACTTGTGAACATGGGTAACTATATATGTAATTACTGTATAATTTAGATGTTTCATCTGTGCTTTGATTTGTTTCATGGCTAATTACTTAGACGCTCAAGATATGTCAAGTTACTCTCATTTCTGTCAGGTCGTGCCCTTAGGCAATCACATCTAGAGCTTTCCGGCCTGGCATGCTGCTGGCTCAATGCGGAAGTGAGTGTTATACTGTACAGAACAAATGAAACCACAACTGCAAAGGATGCTGAGTGATTCTTCATCAGGAGAGTCCAGTACTGGATGCAAACCAGTAAAAGAGTACTTCTTTGACATTCTTCCCCGTCGGCATTTAGCCATGGCCCCCAAATGGAAGACTTCCTTGAGAAACTTTCCAGGCGCCCGAATTTAGTTGGGCCTTTAGGGAAGTCCGAAATCGGTTGGTCAATTTTGACGGCAAAATTCAAGAAATTGAAGCCAGGCCATACTGGTACCAGCAGACCTTCCGGGAACCTATAACCATGATTGTAATTGATTGAGCACATCCCAAATTATACCAAATTAATCCAAATGAGAGGTTAGTTTCAAACATTAAAAATTGATCATTTGATATGTAAATTGGACCCCATTAACAATTAGCAATTGCATAACCAGATAACTGCAGGGTATTAAAGGTTAATCTGCATGTTCATTGCTTTTGGTAGAGTTGTGTAGCTCCTCGGTTTCATTGAGGTTCAATCATGTGAATTCCCAGGTTAAATCAGCTCAATGTAAGTAGATCCTACTAAAGACCCAGATTGATTTTGTTAAGTTACCAGATTGATTGCGTGTAAATACCAAACGACTTGGTCATGTTAAGTTATACAGTATAATCTTACATGTATGAAACACACACACAAACATTTGTTTATACATATATGCATGTACACATTGCACACGCATTTATGATAAATTCATATACACAGTATTCATACAAATCCCACCTTAAACTCCCAGGATTGCATCTCCCAAATCCCAAGATCTCGTCTTCCGCAGGGAACGCCTTCACGCGGCATTTGCTTCGATGGGATTTGGTGAATCGCTTGGCACCTGGGCGGAGGGTCCGTCACTGAAAGCATGGATGGATTCCATAGCCTTGGGCGGGATCCATAGAGGGAAACATTGGGAAATCCGGGGTGGATAGGAATTTGTGGGCTGTCAAGGTATGTTAAGTAGTGCAAAGATTGTTTTTCTTATCATTTGGATCATTATTAAAGATTTCTTAGTATTATATATACTGTATATATATATATATATTATTCCTATTCTAGTATTTTTATATGTGATCTAATCCATGCCCTATTGGAGGTTTATTATTGGGTCAGGTATAATGTCCAATAATATTGGCGTGTTTCTCAATAATTGGTGTTTGTTTATTATAAATTATAACGCTTCCCACTGAATAATATCAACTATTATAAATCTCCATATAGTATATTTTATATATACCTCAAATGTCCCAACAAAATAGGCTTCCCACATTATAAAACTCAATTATTTAGTTTATTATTGGAGCTTTATTGTTGGGTTTCCCAGAAAATGTCCCAACTGGATAAGATTTCCCAAGTCAAAACATATCAACTATAATGATGTATAATGTCATATAATGTCTATCTGTTATAAAGGGTACACACACATATATATATATATATACACACACTATACGCGTCAAATTTCCCAACAAATGGGTTTCCCACATTAGAAACCTCACGTATCGGGGCTCATTATTGGAGCTTTATGCCTTGGCTTCCCAACAAATGTCCCTAGCAAGAAAAACACATGCCCCAAAATAATAAAATGTCCCAAGTGGAAACAAATCAAATATAATGTCTAACCTTTTTAAAGTATCTAGATAACTATATTTTGTTTTTTTACTACAATCTATATGTATATACATACTGGTTGGTGGTTTGGAACATTTCTTATTTTTCCATATATTGTTGGGAATCATGATCCCAACTGACGGACTCATATTTTTCATTGGGGTAGGTCAACCACCAACCAGATTATAATGTTGAAACTGTGTTTCCCCATTGGCACCTCGATGACTCGATGACCGTTTGGAGCAAGGCTGAGAAACCGGACCGCCTCAGCGTCTCTGAACTGCTGCTGCTGGCCCGACAGTTCTTCGCTCTACACGCCCTGCTAGGCGCCTGGGGCGTGGCGGCAACAGGACATACAGTTGCAGTTGGGGTTGGTATGGTAGGATTTGCCATGAACATGTGTGGTTTTATGGGATTCAACCAAGAGAACTATGGTGGTCTTATGGGAATTAACATGAATTAACATGAGTTCACATGATTTCACCATCAAGAATGGTGAATAATTGTGGGTGAAGGAAGGTGGTTCGACCACCAAGAGTTGGGATTGAAATAGTGATTATCACGTTTCATGGTGGTATAGTTGGATTTCGTATGGATTGTGGGACCAACAATATGATATTTGGATGTGTTGAAACATGGTGGCCATCCCAAAAAATGCCAGTTTAGGAAAGTGATGACATGACGTGGATTTATTCCTTTATACATACCGCATAGATTCGTGGAAAAAATGTATGCAATTTCCTGGGCAACCAACAAAACCACACAACACCCATGGTTTCTCATCAAATGTCTCTCTAAAATTGCAAGTTTTAATTTTAATGATCTCAAACCTGTATGGGAATTGCTACCACATGGAAATGGTCGACCAAACCTCATAAATCACGGTTCGCCTTGAGGAAGCCAAACCTAGCCGCCAGTATTGAAAACCAGAGTGTAGTTTGGGACAGCAGTTGAATTGGTTTTGGCCACCCTCAAAGGTGATAAAAGTAGAATGCATGGCTCACAAAGTATGGTTTCAACCAACCAAGGGTTTATCAATCCTCAATTGATTTCGTCGGTTCATCCAGAAAGTCCGATGATGATCCATGTTAAGCTTCATATGTTGGCAGACCTTTGAAACATCAACCAGACAAGCACCAGCAGATTTCTCGGCCGCTTGCACTGAGGCTTGCTGGGTTTGTTGGTGGAGGCACTGGCGCAAACAGTGACGCTTGCGGGCCTTTGGAATGCCCCTTGGATGGAATCAGCGACCACTTGGCGAACACCATACAGACAGTCCCACCGGTGGATGTTTGATGATGGAATTTTGTGGAGATCCAACAGCCAACAGCTAACCGTTCCTTATCCAATTATCCCCCTAAATTACTATTCCTTTTTATATGCATATATACATGCATACAAATATATATATATATATATATACATACACATCGCAGACCCGAACACAAGATAGTGCAGTAAATCATCCTTCTCAAATCGTGAGAAACTACTCTTCATTTGTTGGGTACTACTATATGATCGAAGGAAGTTTGGAAGTCAAACTTCCGACAATATGGAGAGATGAAAAAGCAGTCAGCAGGGAGAAGAGTCAGAGGAGAAAAGATCAGAAGAAAGAAGATGCAGGTGCGCGAAAAGGTAGGAAAGTTGCGATTCACTGTGTTTTTTCGTGGTTTTGTGGCTCCGGAGGGTCGAAAAGTAGGCTCGCTAAAGCGGCGGGTGTGGAGCCATCTGGCCAGGTGAGAGATGAAAAATTGCACGCCGTTGTGGCGCGAAGCACATTTCCAAGTCAAAATGTAAAAAACACCTCAGGAGCGGACCACTTTTGGCAGTTGAGATGTCGAAAAAGTGCACGCCGTTGTGGCGCGAAGCACATTTCCAAGTCAAAATGTACAAAGCACACCAGCTCCGGACCACTTTTTGGAGTTGTGATGTCGAAAAAGTGCACGCCGTTGTGGCGCGAAGCACATTTCCAAGTCAAAATGTACAAAACACACCATTCTCGGACCACTTTTGGAAGTTGAATTTGCGAAAAAGTGCACGCCGTTGTGGCGCGAAGCACATTTCCAAGTCAAAATGTACAAAGCACACCATGCTCGGACCACTTTTGGAAGTTGAGTTTAGAAAAAGTGCACGCTGTTGTGGCGCGAAGCACATTTCCAAGTGAAAATGTACAAAACACACCATGCTCGGACCACTTTTGGAAGTTGAATTTGCGAAAAAGTGCACGCCTTTGTGGCGCGAAGCACATTTCCAAGTGAAAATGCACAAAGCACACCATGCTCGGACCACTTTTTGGATGTTGAGATGCCTTCACTACACTACACTACACTACATTACCGTGTTAAGCTAGATAAATAGATAGCTAGATATCTAGATAGATAGATAGATGGATAGATGGATAGATGGATAGATGGATAGATGGATAGATGGGTAGATGGATAGATGGATGGATAGATAGATAGATAGATAGATAGGTAGATAGATAGATAGATAGATACATACACTAAATTACACTACACTACACTGCATTACAGAACACTACATTCCACTACACTACACTACATTACACTACATTACACTACCTTCCACTATACTTCACTACATTACACTGACTACACTCCACTAGACCACAACTACAACTACAACCACACAACTACACCCCACTACACCCCACTACATTCCAATACACTAAAATACACTCCACTACACTTCACCAAATATGGACAGATAATAAGGAAAGCAGGGCAGAGGCAGAGAGGAGAGAAAGATTAGACGAGAGAAGAACATGGTGATGGATACCTGTGGACATGGATGAAGAGATGGACGGAAAAAAAAACTAACAGAGAGAAGTAAGTGGATGGATGCATGGCTGGATAGACAGAAAGATGGAGAGTTTAATAGTTAGGTGAATAAACAAATCGAACGATAGCTACATGAATAGACAGGTAGATGATAGGTAGATGGCTAGAAAGGTAACTCTGTAGATAGATGGCGAAAGAGAGAGACAGAGAGAAAGAGAGAAAGAGAGACAGAAAGGGAGAAACACTCAACCACCTTTCAATCCATCAGTGGGTTCGCTCTGCCATTCTTGCGCCACAGCAACGCACCTCTCCTATAGGTTTTTCATTTTTGAAACTTCCGCCACCGCCTTGTGCGGTACTGCTGGTAATACCATATGAAATTCATGAAGTTCAGAGTCTAGTCCGGCATCTACCAATTTTTGCGCTGCGTGAAGACCAGGTGGCTTTCCCACTGACCGGCATGCACTTTGCCAGGGAGAATGGAGGCCAGGATAGGCCAGGGTTAACCTTCATCACTGCTTGGATTACCGAGGGGATACGGCAGATACCCATGGCGAGGTGCCATTGGCTGGTGAACCGCAGCCACAGGGATGGGAATTCTTGGAACAAAGACCCAAACATACTTGGTGTTGTATGTTCAAGTTACTGGCTGCTTCATAGACATGGCTTTTTTCATGACTTAACATGTTACAGCCAACCTAAAGATTGGATCAACAAGTCTAGCTCGTGCATATCTATCCAGCGCATCAACTAGTCACCGGGATGCACATCCAGGTGGTAATCGCGCTGTGCGATGGTGGATTGCATACTGGCTTCTGGAGCACCCTGGAAAAAGGGAGAGATGTATCCCATATGCGCCATGTATCCAGGTATGCTTGATTGAAGTACTTTTGGTAAATGAAGATAGATATGGGAATTGCATGGAACGTTTGGGTGTTCCATTCCGTATCTAGTCGCGCTATAATAACACGATACGGAGGGCACGGTATGTTTGCCTTCGGAGCAATGATGGAGGGTGATGAAGGAATATGCCAATGGTATGAAGCGCGCTGCCAAGGACCTTGTTTAACTTCTTCCAGAGTATCAGCCGTGGTGATACGAATTTGCGAGCACTAGCGGTCTATGGTGTGCAATGGTTGGCTTTAGCACGTCTGTGGTGCTGGCTGCACGTGCAGCAAACCTCTTCAGCCCCTTAGCAAAACTGGAAGGAATTTGGTTTGAGGAATGAGGACTGCCATTTCACCATTTGTAAGGGTACGTTTATCAACTGTTGACGATTGTTGCTGACCACTGTGCCGGATGCCGATATCTACATACGCACAGACCTGTCCATATCACAAGCTCATGATCTTTTGTGAGCTCCTCATGTGGGTTGGTCCAAAGATATAGCAGCCCCAATTCATATGGCTAATGATCATGTTCCAACAAAATGCTATTTTGGAGCATGCTACCCTTTTTTGGGGCGAATTCATGTAATGTGCTCAACACTGTGTAACACTTTGCGCGAAGCTATCCGTTGGGGATGGTGTTTACAGCAGCTTTTACCACCCATGAATCTGGTAATCATTGGGGATGGTAAACATCATTGGGTTTGCCAGACTATCTTTCGGCTCAGGTCCAATTCTACTTGAACATTGTGATTGAGAGCGGCAAGGAGCCGGGGTCGCAACAAATGATCTGTTCTGGCTGAGGATGTGCAAGCCCCTTCGTGGCAGAAGGATATACAAGGAACGAAATTCCAGAAAGACATCCACCAGAAATATGCTTTTATTATGATTTCTCATCTATGATGACAGGTCCCAGAGGTGACAAAGTCCTTTGCACATGGCCCAACTGCTTCTTTCTGTGTTAATTTTAGGGCGAGTGTAAACTGTAAAAGAAAGATCGATTTGGAACTGGGCCTGACAAGCTGCAAACCTTAAAATCAGCTGTCAACTTAACTGTATTTATCAATGGGTCGACTAAACAATTCCCCGTATGTATACGATTACAAGAATGTGTGCAAGTGGGTTGTCAACCAACTTCCTCATTTTCAAACATCATATACTTATATGTAGTTTACTCATGATCAGAAAAACAGATACACCTTTAACATCACATCACATCACATCACATCACATACCATGATCACATCACATACCATGCATACATGCATACATGCATACATGCATACATGCATACATACATACATACATACATACATACATACATGCGTACATACATACATACATACATACATACATACATACATACATACATACATACATACATACATACATACATACATACATACATACATACATACTGTACATACTGTACATACTGTACATACTGTACATACTGTACATACTGTACATACTGTAAACACTGTACATACATACTGTACATACATACATACATACATACATACATACATACATACATACATACATACATACATACATACATACATACATACATACATACACACATACATACATACATACATACATACATACATACATACATACATACATACTGTACATACATACATGCATACATACATACATACATACATACATACATACTGTACATACTGTACATACTGTACATACTGTACATACTGTACATACTGTACATACATACTGTACATAAATACATACATACATACATACATACGTACATACATACATACATACATACATACTGTACATACATACATGCATACATACATACATACATACATACATACTGTACATACTGTACATACTGTACATACTGTACATACTGTACATACTGTCCATACTGTACATACTGTACATACTGTACATACTGTACATACTGTACATACTGTACATACAGTACATACAGTACATACATACATACATACATACATACCTACATACATACATACATACATACATACCTACACACATGCATACATCCATGCATTCATGCACATATCATGGTTTATCATCAGCATATTCAGCAATTGGAACTCATTGAGTCCATCCCCCTACAGCTTGGCATCAGGAGACTTGGCTGAGCCGCGCCACGGCCAGCACCATTCGCAGCACCCGAAGCACATCGGTGGTACCGTGGCATCCGCTGTGTGGATTTTTTAAAAAACATAAATAAGAAACATGTTCATTCACCAATAAGATTTTGACATTTCAATGATCGTCTGATCGTGTCTGAAAATAAGATGACATGCATGATCATTGAAATGCTTAGTTGAAATGCATTTCATGGCATTTGCATGATCGCGCTGATGAAACATGATCGTCATATGCATGTCAGTATTTTGGCATGACTTTGATGTGACGCGTCGATGCTGTTTTATGTTTACCATATTTACCATTGGGTCATTCCCCATTTGGGGAGTCTACAGGGATTGCGCAGGTGGGGGTTCAACAGATTGTATACGCCAAGGATAGGAGGGGTAAAATGATCTGGATATTGGTTCGTTCAATTTAGAGCTAGCAGTTTTGCAGTCTGGTGGTCCAAGTATTTCCTTCTAGCTTTGCCGGATCCTTTGATATGTGGACCGATGATCACTACCAAGGAGCATGTGTCTTCTTCCTGTGATGTGGGGCGCAAGCAATGTTTTGAGATTGAGATGTTCAACCAATGATCACCTGATTGCCTGGTGGTAAACCAGTTGTTGGTATTTTGGATTCCCAGCCCAGCGTTCCACTATGAAGGGGGATTGCTTTATCACCTTTTTCCATCCTGTGTTCCCATGCCATTTGTTTGAGCCAACGGCTGGAACTCGGGAAACTTTGGAGAAGACCCTGAAATTACCCTCTGGTAATTTGTTACAGTTTGCTATTGAAAATGGCCATTGATAGTGAGTTTTCCCATTAACAGCATGGTGATTCTCCTTAGTTATGTTAGTTTACCAGAGGGTCCCATAGACTTTGCATTTTTCGATATCAAATTTCCAACTGCAGGGGTTTCCTGCATGTTTTCCCGTCAGGGAACTTGGATCCATAGCTTCGGGCTCTGCTGAGGATTTGCTGGCGGACAAGACTTTCGCAGATGACATCTTTCCTTTGCTTCAGACCCGGTGGATGGATGCTGTGGGAGAGTTGCTGCCACAGGCTAGTTTGGATGTTAAGCTGGTTGATCTGATCACGATATTTCAAGTGCAGTTTTAACCATATGTTTTGTTTTCTATCCTAGGTCGCACGGTGATCCTGATTGACAATTGACCCATGTTCGTTTGGAAAGGAGTGGAACCAGCAATCAGTATCTAAAGAACAATGACATCACTGGATGTAGCAGCAATTTGGGGCCCAACGGCTTTCTGTGGGGATGGATCAAAACCTGCAATGTACCCCACACTAGACAAGAATGGATCATTTCAGTGATCCGTTGGGAACTGAGTCCCATAAACCTAAACCTAGACCTGACCTTATGTATATATATATAGTCCCCGTGGCAATTTCCACTCTAGAGCTGGTGAACCTGTGCATAGTTTAAACGAAATTCTTAATATATTGGAATTTTAAAATTGATGTTAGGCTAGTCATTTTATTGTTGGGGGGTTGGGCTAAGCATTTTATTGTAAAGGTAAATCCTGATGATTTTTAACATGTTAAAATTCCATTCTCATTTTATTGCAAAAAATGTTTGCTTGGAGCATTTTATTGCAGAATGGAACCAGTGTTTTTCCAGGATCTTTTTATATCGATTTTATTGGGCATGTCATTTTAGATCAGCGAATTGTAAGGAATTTGAAGGAATTCTAAGGAATTTGAAGGACTATGAATATGAAGGAATTTTAAAGAAATTATAAGGAAATTTAAGGAATTTAGAGAGTTTTAAGGAATTTTAAGGAATCTTAGAGGAATTTTAAGGAATTTAAAGGAATTTGACGGAATTTGAAGGAATTTGGAGGATTTTTAAGGATCTTTAATGTTTTTAAATTTTAAAGGATATTTAAGGAATGTTAAGGAGTTTTTTGGAATATTAAGGAGTTTTTAAGGAATTTTAAGGAATTGCCACGAAAGAATGCCACCGTATTTTGTTGCTATAGAATGCTATTTTAAAAAAACACACTAAATATTTGGGCACCTTCACTCTAAAATACCCCTATCTAAGATGGATTTCCTGACCTCTTTTTAAAGATGCGTTTCTGAGGGTCTTCAAAATTGGATGAAATTGGATCATGTTGGATGCACATTCAAGCATGAATTTGGTGGCAAGGCATTTTATTGCAGAGCCAGTTTTCATTGTTTTTGTGCATTTTAAAGCCTGAGGCCTATGCACAAAAGTTAGACCGCTCTAAAACTCCTGCACAGCTTCACATAATGAATTGGCACCCCGATTATATATAATTATATTTAATTTTATATATATATATATATATATACAGGACTACGGTGGCAACCAGCTGCGACTTAAATGCGCCCAGGTGCACCACCGAAGTCCTGCGGGTACGTTTACTCGGGTCCCAGGGACGTGTCTTCGTTGGTCACCGCCCCCCCCGGGACCCCGGTGACCCCCCGCAATATATGAAAAAGGAAGTATAACAGAAGTTTTACATCTATTCACATGTTAGACACACACACACACACACACCCGGCCGGAGCCGGTTCTACCCTGAAAGGCAAGAGGAAGAAAAAAGCGGACACATACGACGGGCAGCAGAAGGCTAAAAAAAGCGCAGGCGGGGAGGGAACAAACGGACCTCCAGAACCAACTTACACGGCGAGACGGACCTAACCAGCACAGGGCACACACTTAAACCCCACGACGCATTACAGAGGGGCACGGGGGAAGAAATAGGGACCGAATGGGGGACTAGTTGGTGACGAGAAGTGAAACAACAAATTAATTAACATTAATGGGATTCAGTTCTTTCCTAAAGAGTCGTGCGTTACTCCCGGCCGGGAACGTTGTCAAGTCAAGCCACGTGGGCATAAACAGCTGTTCAAGTTCCAACGAATTAGATGCACGATATGTTCAACCTCACCAGATACCAAAAAGACCATACCTGCAGGAAGAGGACATGCTGTTGCCTTCTGTCGCTCATGTCATGTTTCACATCAAAAAAGCAGCTGCAGCGAGAAAAAGGAGTTTCTGATTGTTCTGCACGGCTGTCCTCAGGTAGAAGTGAAGATTCCAGGAGGCACTGGGACAGCAGAGTCCGCAAGAAGTCGCAAAAAAGGCTGAAAAGCGAAAAGGCCGACTGTTTCGCTTTACGTAAAGGAATTACCAGCTTAACTTGTGTTAATTCGGTAGTCAAATCGGTCCAAATTCTCCCTGAAAAGGGATGCCTCAAATGACTCCATGGCACCATGTCAGAGTCACCATGGAAATCACACTAGACAAGAATGGATCATGTCAGTGATCCGTTGGGAACTGAATCCCATAAACCTAAACCTAGACCTGACCTTATGTATATATATATATAGGACTACGGTGGCCGCCAGCTGCGACTTAAATGCGCCCAGGTGCACCACCGAAGTCCTGCGGGTACGTTTACTCGGGTCCCAGGGACCCTGGTGACCCCCCGCAATATATGAAAAAGGAAATATAACAGAAGTTTTACATCTATTCAGATGTTACACACACAGAGACACAGAGGTTTATATATATATATATTATGTCTGTGTGTGTATGTGTATGTAATTATGTGTGATTATATTTATATTTATTTTTACATATTCTCTATTTTTATATATATATATATTTGTATATATATATATATTGGGGGGAACATAAATCCCAGCTCTTTTGTTGTGAAAACCATGGATTTTCCACAGTTTTGACTCATACCCTTGCCATTTATCAATGCACTTGGCCCTCCCCTCCCCAATTGGTGGCAATATGGTTACTGTATGTGTTTATGAGTATACCATGGTACTATGCACAAACCTCTTGTTTCACACACACAAGAGGAAAGACACATAACATGTGTACTGTACATATTCTGGTTTGTATGTTCTCCCCAGCTCTTTGACAAAGGAACATGTACCACATAGGTGGCGTCCTCTAGTTATAAGTTGTTTTATAAAGCCAACCTAACATCATCCAATTATAGTTCAAACAGTTACATGACATATTATCAAAAGCCCCAGTACTATCTACGGATAGAGATGGATAAGAAAGAAAGACAGATAGGTAGATAGATAGATAGACAGACAGATAGATAGACAGATAGGTAGATTATATAAATAAAACCATCAGACTATCCTTATCACAACTGAGCGATTTGGTGCTTGCCGAGGACAAGTATGCCTCACGCCTGGCGGACAGCGTGGAGAAGATGATCTGCGAAAAGCTGCGGGATGAGGCCGCCATCTTGGCGAAGGCCGCGGTGAACGGCGGAAACCTGTAAATGGGAATAGTCAAATTCCGTGGTTGAAGTTTGTTAGTCCAACTTTCAAGCGTTCGTTGTAAATCAGTGAATTCCATTTTACTGTTGGAGAACTACTGTGGTTGTGTGCCATGTTGTTGTTGATTCTTGTTCCCCAGTTTTGTGGAGGAACTCTGGTATAGTCAAACATCCATGGATAACATTCTGATAACCAAACAAGCCATATATGTAGGTCTTGTTTTGCTATTCGAATTCTGGTCGCCATGGTTGGTTTCCAGAGGGTAATTATATGCATATAGGCACCAATAAAAAACAATTACGTTCTTCAAGTGATCCCCACTCTGACACACTATTTTTTCTCATAGGTTCTGACATACCATCTGGAAGTATATATGGGATAGGCACAGAGATAAATATATATATATATATATACTTGTAAATATATATATATATATATTTGCCATTCTAACCGGCATCTATTCTGACATATTTCTGGCATATATTCTGACATTCTATCTGGCAGTCTGTCTGGCATCTATTCTGACATTATTTCTGGCATCTATTCTGGCATTCTGTCTGGCACCTATTCTTTCTATCTGGCATTCTCTCTGGCATCTGTTCGGGCCCCGGTGTTACCCACAGCGTAGCTCGTGATATGGAGTTCGGTCCAGGTGTGGCCCACTGCATCCAGAGCTAGGCGATCGGGGATAGGGTTCGGGTCCAGGCGTGGCCCACTGCATCATACCTGGCGGTGTGGTTCGGTCCATGGGGCACACTGCATCCGGAGTTGGCGATATGGTGTTCGGGTCCAGGAGTGGGTTGGACGAAGGCGGGAGTGAAGGCGGGAAGGAGTGAGTGAGTGAGTGCGTGCGTGGGTGCGTGCGTGCATGCGTGCGTGCGTGGGTGGGTGGGTGAGTGGGTGAGTGGGTGAGTCGGTGAGTCGGTGAGTGGGCTGCACCCTTGTTCAAATCTTGATACCATCACCTGGCAAGTGTCGAAAAAAGGGATAGAGCCAGGTATGAAAGATTGATGTAAGATTATGCTTGGCGTACCAACGGGGTGGAAGACCAATGACATCAGCCAAGTGGCTGGCATTCCGAGATTGCTTGGCATGTGTTTGTTCTGCTCATTCTTAGTCTTAGGGAGCAATGTTTTGAACAGGCAAAATCTCAGGAATTGATTTTTTGATGTACCAGCCACCACATAGCTCAACAGTGTTCAGTCGTGCTGCTAGGCCAAGAAGCATTTTCAGCGAGGGAATTTGATCGTTGTTTTGGTCTCCATTGAGCGAATTGATATGAGGAAGATGCTGGAGACTCTTGACTGCATGGGTCTGATGACTTGGGTTATCTTGAATTTGTGGGAAGAGGAATGACTTGGTTCGCATGGTGTGACTCGACTCACCTGGTAGGCACCTACCTAAAACGAGGAAAATTGCTAGAGATTGGAAGCCTTCATATCCATTAAAAACTTCATCCACGACCGGCAGCTTTGTCGTTTTCAGGCTTGGTTTCCAAGAGGATCAACTTGCTATAGGGAGCTGGCCTAGGATGGCGGTACTAGAGAACAATTATGGGTGCAAATTCTTCCAACAATGATGGGTTTGGATCCTCCAAAAATATTCAAAAAATGAAACGCGATGGACCACTATCCTCAAGCAGTCATGGAGACTATAATGGAATGTCAACCCAAACTTCACCATCAAACCTGGTTGATTGCAGTACTTAGGCCGAATACTCTCCAATAGCATCAGGGTCAACATGTGGTACAGTATACGTATAATATAACAATTTCCCTGTAAGGGGAATCTCTCTCTCCAATCAAACACCCCATGATAGCCCTTGATGCTTTTCTCTTCAGATAGTAATATATAGTAATATCATATGTGCAGCCTGTGTTTGGCACAGGCCTTTTCCCAAGCCTGGGGTTTCTTGTCACGACACCAAGAGATCCAGGCTAAAGGGTGAACAGCACCGACTCAGAAGGGTCGACGTCATCATGCGCTCCTTGGATCTCCTTGGCGCTTGGTCAGATGTGACCCATTATGGGTTTCACCCTTTGTGAAGTCGCCAGTATAGAGGGATGATGCTGATAAAGCGGGTATTGCAGAAGTGTGAGTATTGTGTGTCAGTGTAGTTTCTGGTCATCACTCTATGTGATCTTGAAGATGTTGAAACATGCAGCAGGCAGAATATGTTCATATGTTAGCAAGCAGGCGCACTGCCCATTGAAGGTTGGTTCGAAGGTCTGGCCATTAGCCCCTCCAGATGCATCCTGACTACCTGTATCAACATGCAGTACGGTATAGTACGGTGATATTTCACAGCGTTGATTTGAGGGAAACCTGGGGGAGATCATGTTTTCCCTTCCCAGATCAACTCTCCTTTGGTTCATGGAATCCTGGAAGTTCACAAGTTTTTTCCCAGCCACATAGATGTTGTTGAACAACATGTTTAAAAGGGTATACGTATCACCTATCTAAGGTTGCCGTAGATTATCCATATTTGATAACGAAAAACTGTAATGTGGCCAACCCAATAACATAAACCTACCATTTGGGGACGTTTTTCTACCGTTTATGCAACAAGTTCTGGTAAAAAAAGGGGATCAATGACATTGGCTTTGCCACATTTTACGATCAGCGGGCAAAGACGCCTACAATGGGTTTATTACCTACACTTTATACCGTAAAGCCTACCCTCTGGTAAACATAAAAAAAACAATGGAAAATCACTAGTTTTAATGGGTAAATCAACTATAAATGTCCATTTTCAATAGCTTTGTTTGTTTACCAGAGGGTATTAATTGCTCATAGACGTCTTTACCACATTGACATTGGGTTTAATGTCAAGTGAGGATTAATAATCCCCTCCCGATTAATCAACCACCATTGCCAAAAAAAAAGTAGTTTAAAAACAGGTGGTCCCCCGAGATTAATAAACCGGTGGGCCTACCCCCGATTAATCAACCACCAGTGCTGAAATCCAATTTTTTATCCAACATTTTTTATTTCCAATTCTATTTATTTCCAATTGTTTTTTACATTTTTTTTAATCATCATTGTTATACTTCAGGTTTAAGTTGATCATTGAAAATTTCAAAAAACAACTATTCCCCAAATGATCGATTTCTAATTAAAATCTTTATTAAAAACATCAGTTTGGATAGCTCCCAAAGGGTACCCCCCATGAGCCCATGTCCCCCATTAATAATAACCATGGTTTGCCCCTGATTAATCAACCACCTTTCTGATCCATGAAATTTTAACAAATCCAATGGAATTCTATTAAGATCTAATTGACGTAAGCCATATCCAAAGTTTTATGGTTCAGAATTTTATGGTTCAGGGCCGTTTATTTACGTGTGATTTTCTAGGTACCTCCTACCTTCTAGGGAGGGGGGTTTATTAATCCGGTGTTGGCATTAATGACAATATATAGTCGCTGGATGTCACTGGGGATGATTGTATCATTGGTATAAGGTACAAATCAATGATAAAATCATTTGAATCACAGGACGCATCGCTCACCCCATGAGCAGGCTATCAGCGTACCAACGCGACCCCCAGTCCAAGATTTGGTTTAGTGGAAAATATGGGAGAACTTACACGAAACCTCCCATTCATGATATGTATATATGTAAATGTGACATGTATGCCATATAAAATATATATATACATATATATATTATTAATTGATTGGTTCGTGGTTTGAAATATGTTCTTCCTTGTTCAACTCCCTTTAGGATGATGATCCACATTCATTGATATTTTAGCCATCTGCGGGCACAGTCCAGACTCTGTCGTAACTTCATAGCGAAAAGTTTCAGGAGGTTAAAACCACCAGACCAGTAAAATACCGCATATCTCCACAACAAACCGAGTGAATCGGTGGACCAGGCTTTTTACGCTTCGTGCCACTGCCACTGAAGCCCGATTTCGAAGAAGTGCTTTTGTCACAGCTGTGTCCCTTGGAGCTGATTGACCTGAGTTCTTGTCCCTACCAGGAAAACCAGAAAATGTGGATGTCCCAGACATGTTATGACGTTGATGTTTTCTCAGTAGACCTTTCTACTGTAGTTGTCCGCAAAAGAAAATCCAGGAATACTTTGTCCATTTGGCCAGGGCGCCCAGGTCGCAACATGATTGGCAACGTGCCCTCGCAGTTGACCCGGCAGATGTGCGAAATCGGTGGCGTGAACGTGGAAGTTGAAGCCAAGAGCCTTGGATTTGAGATGTTGATGTCGTTGATTTGCTCGGGCATGGATATCTTCAAATAAACTTAACAGTGACTTGACATAGCTATGGAAACCATGGCTCATTTATTATTAGATGATGCACCTATGTGAAATGGTGATTTTCCATGGCAGTGTTAGTTTGCAAGAGGGCAATGGATATGGTAGTGCCCGCATGGTAGATATTGGTAGGTCTACCCATAGGGAGGATATCCCTAAGGACAAGGAAATCCAAGCAAAGATATCAAAGATATCAATTTGGTTTTGATTGGTTGTGTATGTTAGTCTACCTAGTACTTCTGCATGTGTGTATTTTGATATATTGATATATTTTGATTGGCATGTTATACATATGGGTCATATATGGATTTGTTTGACTTTTTGAAGGGATGAATGGAGTTGTTGCCATCATCTCTGAGCATAAGGTGCCGCCAAAATCCATAGGACAAATGGACGCACTGTCCGTATGAATTGGGGTGTTGTAAATGCCCCCATGTTCAGACATCCAATTGTCATATTGATCGCTGCATACCTCAGGATTTAGCATATTATCAAATGCCCACGAAACAGAAGCAAAACCTATTCATGGATGAAATGCAATTTTTTGATACTTGCAATCTACTAAACCAACATAGATGTGGAAAACCCACCGTCTGTAAGATTATATTCAAAGAACAAATATCCCGGACAAAAAGCAAGGGATATTTGTTTTTGCTTAAAGTCCTGATAACTCTGTTGTAAAAAACCACCCCTTTTGGGGTAAAGGTACGCATTTTCGGTGGCAATACAGGAAAAGCAGGAAATCAAACAGTTCCGCTGGGCAGAAGTCAAGGAATTTTAAATTGGATTAAATTTGGATAAAAAACAGTTAAATTTGGAATAAATTTGCTTAAAATAGATCAAAGCCCTATTATTTTCTGATAATGTTTGAAGGATTTGAAGTTTCAAGTGGTCAAATTAATCCAGATTTGTTGGATTTTAGTTGCCCTCTATATTTTCCTTTTTAATTTTTCCTTGATATATCCTTTTCCTACGGAAACCATGGGTTTTCCACATTTCTGTATGTCCATCCCAGGGTGTAAACCTTCATTTTTTCGGGACCGGAGGGACCATCAGCACCAAGGAGCAAGGAGCAGCAGGCAGACTATTTGTTGGAAGCCATGCGGCAGTTGGATGAAGAGCCTTGCTTCGTCACGGTTCGTCCTGTTGAGGCTTACCCTCCAAGATGCCTGTGGCAGCTATGGAAAGCCACAGCTTTCCGGCTTTCCGGAAAATGATCTAGGAACGGTGGATTTTCAATATGCTAGTTTACTGGATGGTAAGTCGAGCGGGGGAAGAAAACTGGATGGGGGCTCAAGCCCCAATTTTTCTTTGTTCCTTCTGTGTCACATCTTGATATGTATTGACTTCCAGTGAAATCATGGTATGCTTCTTGGGTAAATCATTCTTGGGTGACGAGTTGATTAAATCCAGAATTTGTGTTGGTTTAAATCTTATATTTTGATGGTTGGCTGATGGTTGACTGCCAATTTGAATTTGGAAAATCCTGATGTTTGACGGTTCATCCTCATATTGTGATGGCCATATGCCATATGTGGCAGGTTCATCGTTTTTGTTGGTGAATTCCAATGTTTTGTTGTTTGAGTCCTAATTAGCTGATGGTCCAACCCTTATTTTGATGTTTGATTCCAACTTTTGCTTTGTCAAGGGTCAAATCCGTTGAAATCTACATTGTTTGGAATGTTTGGTTTTGTTTATATAAACCCTTCACATTCCCTTTGTTAATGGTCAAGTCCCACAAAACCAGCATTTGTTACTGTAGATCCCATACAACCAGCACTTTTGGCTGCTTCAACCATCGTGTCTACCCATATTCCATCATTTTCTCAGTGAATTCACCATGTTTGGCTGGCTAAATCCCATAAAATCATATGAAATCCCATGTTTGATGCTCTTTTAAGTCATGTTACGTCCCTTTTTCCCGAATGCGTAGCAAGGGTTCCCGTTTCACTCTGGGGGTCTGGGGGTTGAGGGTGTGTTCGCTCGACGTTGCGTTCACGGTCGCAACCGTTCGCAACCGTCCGCGCGAGGACCATATGGCCGTGCCTATGGGAAGTTCTGCAGGAAGGATCATTTTTGGAGGTTTCAGACGTCGGGTTGCTTCGTTTCGTGTGGCAGGCGTGGCACTTCGTGACATTCAGAGGTGTTTTGTAACATGTCGAAAGTCGTTTTGTGTGGCAGGCGCAATACTTTTGCAACGTTTTCACAAGATGTGTTGCAGTTTTCGTGGCAGGCGCAGCACTTTGGACGTGTCCATCGTCATTTTTCGTGGCAGGCGCAGCACTTTAGACGTGTCGTGTTGCGTGTTTTTTGTAAATCGCATTGGCAGGGCTGCGTCAAGTGGCGACAAGGTGCAAATTCCGTGGCAGGCGTGGCATTTTGTGCGATGTGCTGAAAATTGACGGAAGCCTCGCACGAAACATCGATTTTGAGGTTGCAAATTTTCAGGTTCTAAGGAAAACTCGTAGGAAAACGTCGATTTTGAAGCTACAAAGTGTGAAAATTCGAGGAAGTCTCGCACGAAATGCTCGTTTTGGTGCTTCCACCTGTCTCGTCTCGCGTCATTGGTTTTATGGTGGCTTCGCCGTGTCTATGGGGGAAGCTGCAAAACATGTCTCTTCGGCATGTTTCAAAGTGTGAAAATTGGAGGACGTCTCGCACGAAATGCTCGTTTTGGTGCTCCCACGTGTCTCGTCTCGAGTCTCTGGTTTTCCTGTGGTTTCGCCGTGTCAATGGGGGAAGCCGCAAAACCTCTCCTATTCGAATGTGTCCAAGCAGGTTGTCATGTCGTTTTGCGTGGCAGGCGTGGCACTTTGTGACATTCCAAGCTGTTTGCTAACGTGTTGAAAATATCAAAATTGGAGGACGTCTCGCAGGAAATGCTCGTTTTGGTGCTCCCACGTGTCTCGTCTCGAGTCTCTGGTTTTCCTGCGGTTTCGCCGTGTCAATGGGGGAAGCCGCAAAACCTCTCCTATTCGAATGTGTCCAAGCAGGTTGTCATGTCGTTTTGCGTGGCAAGCGTGGCACTTTCCTCACTCCACACTCCACACTTTACACTCCTCACTTTACACTCCACACTCCACACTCTACACACCACACTCTACACTCCACACTCTACACTTTACGCTCCACACTCCACACTCTACACTTTACACTCCTCACTCCACACTCCACACTTTACACTCCACACTTTACACTCCTCACTCCACACCCCACACTTTACACTCCTCACTCCACACTTTACACTCCGCACTTCACACTCCACACTTTCCACTCAACACTCCACACTCCACACTTTACACTCCACACTCCACACTTTACACTTCTCACTCCACACTTTACACTCCACACTTTACACTTTACACTCCCCACTCCACACTTTACACTCCACACTCTATACTTTACACTCTACACTATACACTCTACACTCCACACTTTACACTTTACACTCCACGATTTCCACTTTACACTCCTCACTCCACACTTTACACTCCTCACTTTGCACTTTACACTCCTCACTCCACACTCTACACTCCACACTCCACACTCTACACTCCACACTCTACACTTTACACTCCATACTCCACACTCTACACTTTACACTCCACACTCCACACTTTGCACTTTACACTCCACACTCCACACTCCACACTCTACACTCCACACTCCACACTCCACACTCTACACTCCACACTCTACACTTTACACTCCATACTCCACACTCTACACTTTACACTCCACATTCTACACTTTACACACTCTACACTCCCCACTCCACACTTTACACTCCACACTCCTTACTTCACACTCCTTACTTCACACTCCACACTCCACACTCTACACTTTCCACTCCACACTGCAGACTGGTAACAAGGGAAACATGCACAAGACTGTTCAAATAAACTATTGCAGAAAGGTATTGTGCGTCACTGCATAACCATGTGTTTTGACATCTGTACCATTAACATACGTGTGAGCATTCGGGTTCGTGGGCTTCATCTTGTTTTTCATGCTGAAACCGCTAAACCGACCACGTTTGCCAAGGAAGACATCCAAGACGCCAAGAACCGTCGAAGCTATGCCTTTGGCGGCGACGAGGTTTGGCCCTTCTTCTGTGGCTATGGCCATGCCAAGGTGCGACATGTGCCCACCACAGCGTGCTACCCCAGGCGGCTGGGTCATGGTGTGGTAAACTTGCCATAGTCACCACCCCAGTCACCAACCATGACTGGGGGTCACTTTACATCATCCCAAATGGGGGTATACACTAACCTATTGGAATGCACATGAAGAGGTGATGGTTTATGATTGGGTTTGCCACATTATAGTAATTCTGGAGTTAGTTTATCGAATTGTAATTGGGATAAAATAGACTTAGTAACTGGATTGTTTAACCAGCTACAGGTTGGGATGAACCTCCAAATATGTACCCACTGGTAAGCTGACAGTTTGCTATGGAACATCGGGTAAATCATAGATCTAATGGGTCATTATCATCCATTTCCATTAGCTATTGTGAAATCCCCAGGGGGTAAACCATGAACAACTATGAAATTAAATTGATCATGAAGAAATGATGGGTTTGAGTTGGGAGATGATGGGCGAAGTGATTTCTGAATGTTATTTGTATGTCTAGTATACCGTTGATCATGTGGGGGTGTGGTCAAAACTATCCAGAACAGGCGTCTAACTAAGAAAATTGTGGGTTTGAGACACGTTTAACAATCAATAGTGGGTAAGCTTGGTCGAATTATGCCAAACTAACCATCAACAAGTGTAGAAACCTTGGATGGGAGTGGTTTAACCCTAAGCAGCAGGCGATTTTGAAAAGTAGTACGTTCTGGGTAAGGTGATTGATGAAGGGTAGTTTATATAGTATATATATATACAAGTTCATGTCTTGCCGTATTGAGGGGTGGATACTAACCACCCTGTCTTTTGTGTGTGTGTGTGCAGAGTATCCAAGATTGGCCAAGAATAACGTGGAGGGCAACCAAGTTTTGGACATAAGGGTGTCCGCTGGAGCAGGGGACATCACACGGGTCTCATTTGAGATTTCTATTGCTTGCATGTTGAATCATATAGTAGAGGGTATGGACGGATATATATATGTATCTACTTGATATATTTATTTATATATATATATTAATATACATATTGAAATAGCTATCATTGATTTGTATATGTACGTGCTTACACCTACATTGTATATGCACAGTGAACTATTCACACATACATGTCTACACAGATCTATGTATATGTATTGGTACACGGTTTGTGTATCCCTACTAGTTTGGCGCATACATGCACATTTAAAAAAACATAAATATGTATGAGTATTTCTTCTAAGTACATCTGTAGGTTTTGAGCTACCCGCAGATCCAACGTCCGTGGCCCTGAGGCAAGTGACTTGCAGCATCGCTCCCCACGTCCCCGACTGAAAGCAGACCGGCCGACTGCTGGCCGTGCTCGGCCGTGCTGTTGAGCAGCTGAGATGATCAAAGTTTCTACTTGGAAGTTCATCCCTAGTTTGCATGCACAAAGCAGACTATCTTCCATGTGCATATATATATATATATAGTACAATTAAACAAAAATCACTACAATATATATATATATGTATACGCAGATAATATGTGGATATACCGATGCCAGAAACTGTATATGATACACCCTTGTCTATGCATGTAGAACCCAAGCAGGGCAAAGGTGGACAAGAAACCCTAGCAACTCAAGCAGTACAGAGCTGGAGATGGGAAAACCGTTGTACGAGGTTCAGGATGCCTACGATTTACTGCGGAGGCATTGGTGACATTTGTTATGGCCTTATTGTTTGGCCACAAAATTCTGGATTTCTTTCTTTTCGACGATTCCTTCCAGGGCATTTGGATTCGCCACGTTCTGTGACACAGTGACCTTGCCTATAACATAGCAAAGTATGCATATATGATAATAAATATGTGTAAATATATATGTATATACAGTATATATATATATACAGTATAAATATATATATATACACAGTATATATATATATATACTATCCGTTCATTCTCCGTGGCATTCCAAAACTCCAAGACTGAGCGGCCAAAAAGACACCCCGATGGTTCTGTAGTGTGGCTCGCGAACTTGAACCTCGATGCAGAAAATTCGATTCCATGTCTCACCTGAGCGGTTCGACGCAGATTGACCTGAAAAAAAGGTTGGGGCTTGACGCTTGACGATTGCACTTACCCAGGTGGTAATGCTCTGGAACATGGCCCATTTATGAAGGATCTACCCTGTACAAGTGGTGCTTTCCATAGCTATGTTCAATTTAAAGGGTGGCTGGGTATACAAAACTGGTTGGCTCACATAAAACCCAGGAAACGTGTGGAGGTGAATCAGGAGGTGAATAATTGAAGAGGTGATTTTTATATATAATAGAAATGATTTAGTGAGATCGCTGCAGATTCGCGTCGTGATACTTCCATAGCGCCCAGAAATCGGCAAAAAAACACAAACAAGATCTCCCACAATCAATGTCAGTCGCAATCTCTCTCACGTTAGTCGCGTGGTTGAAATGCAAACTGGTCCAAGGGACGGATAATTCTGGTGGCTTCCTGGATCTAGTTTAATCATTTGTTATTTGTGTTTTATTTGTGTTTTTTCCTCACTTCGTTCAAAAGCTGGTACATATGTTTGCACTTTATTGCATTTGCAACCCTTGATGGTTTTGTATATGCTCCTTGTTTTCTACGAACACTGGAACATCTAATATCCAGGGGCCTTGCGGTGAATGAAAGGCTGCTTGGGTGAATGTCCCATAGTTTTTTTTAGCGACATGTTTATACACGCAGGAAGCTAACCATGGTTCTACTTACAGAAAGTTGTCACGTGCTACCACGCCCCCAATGTTATGTTAAAAAATGGTAACACCAACTTTTTGATGACTGAAATGTACTGAAGTCATTTGAAGTCAATGTAGATTCTGTACTTGTTACTGTCGGATTGTTAGTCACTTCCCAGTTCAAAGAAGCACTGTTAGGTTTTATGTCATAGGTACGTGACCTCAAATCGTGAGAGAAGAGGGTTCTTGTGTGTATATATATATATATATTATGACCTAGATGTACCCATAGACCATCAATTTTGATGTTGGCAGAAATCCCACGTTTGTTTTCGTTCCCATCATGCCAAGGTCGGTCATCTTCTGAGAGTTCATCAAGTTTTGGACCTTTGACTCATCGGTAGTGCACCAGTGATCCCCACAAGAGACAGAGGTACACCGTGGGGCTCGCAGGCTATAAATTGGTAGAAATGTGTACCCGCCCAACTGATCCCAACGGTATATCTATCATGAACCTTGGCCGACTTGTGCACCAACTGAGCTAACGTTGGGAAAAGGTGGGGCTCGTATGCTCTGACCTTCGATCATCTAATCTAGAAACCACCTCTAGGTGATGTTCCAATTGAAAGGTATATAGATCTTTGGGTTGCCGGGTTGGATTGCCAGACAGTAGGGGAAGATACTGGTTCCGGATCCCAACTCATCACCTTGAAAAATCCGCAATACCTCACACGGCATTCGTTGACTATGTAACCTAAGAAGTATCAACCCCTCTGGCTTTTCACGGGTTCTGCGCAGGATCTGAATGGAATTGGTGGGTAAATATGTTGCGTTTCACAGGCAACTGGGGATCCGTGACCGCGGGGATCACCGAGGTCATTCAGATTCGTCACAGAGAGACCAGAAGCGCCTTGGAGCCAAGCCATACTGCTCAGTGGATCGTGCTGGGTCCAGCGGTTGATAGAATAATTATTGTGTGGATCAATATCTTCAGTGGATTGATTCAAGGGAAAAAATAATGGGAATAACAGAGTTTCTCTACCAGTCAATACGTTGATGTCTTTTTCAGGGATGTTTTCTTTTGCTAACGCCATGAGTCTCAACCACTGAAATTGGGTTGATGAAAATCCCAGCTGGCACAACTTGGTCCCTGTTTATTTAGTGTGACAAAGCCAGACCGCAGCTCGCGAATGGGATAGAGGCACCAGCCTTTACAATGCAGCACATCGCCAGGCACAATCAAAACGATCCACATCACGATCTCCATACGCAGCACCTTGGATGATGTATCTCTGGCCCTTTTGTGACGCTATCAACAAACCTATGAAGAAACCTGCTAAAAAACCATCACAATCCTATTAGAAAGAAGGGCATTCTAACTCCCCTCACAACGCAACTATTGTTCAAAAACGGAAAACTCTATACCTATGAGCTACTGTATCATACTGTATCTACCTCAAACCCAACAGTGAAATGCGCGTGAACGCCAACTTCGCTAACATTATATTCTGAATTTTAGCTGGTGGTTAAATCTGTTTTTACTCCCATAAAACAGCAATGATTCACGGCTATATCCCATATATTACCGTATATAAAACCAGCATTTTTCATCGTTAACCCCCATAAAACCACATCAAACCATTTTTCATGGCTCCATCCCATAAACTATTTCCCCAGGCTAAAGGAGGAGCTCCGCCGGCGCCGCAATAGCGGCTCCCTGGGCAGCACCCACAGTGCCCGCAGCACGCCGCGGTCCTCGGGGAGTGGACCTTCATATGTGGACTACGCAGGCAGCCGGTGGATCTCTGATCAAAATGGGTGGATTTCATGGGGAAATTTTGATTCATGGGAAGCAGATGGGAGAATATGAGTTGCAGCAAAATTGATATTATGGGATAGAAATATGATGGGATATTGACTGACAAACAATACGATACTACTTACTGTAATTAATGGGATAAGATGGGATTATTTTTTTAGGATAGAGTTAACCAACAATTTAGATAATATAGATGATCAATATAGATACCCATTTGTAAATAAATAAGGGGCTGCAGCCCTTCCTGTAGGTTAATGTGATGATTTCCTCTGAAATCTGGGACCACCAAATCATCCAGAACTTTTGGACGTACCTCACCCGTGAAAACCGCTACACAGATGATTGTTAGTACAGGATGAATAATCCTAAATGCATCCTGAGTCTAATATTGACCTTCCAAATGCTATGTTGACTTATGTTGACGTTTGCTTTTCTGACTCAAAGCGCGAAAACCTATTCACAAGTTGCTATCAAACTGAAACCCTGCAATTGCTTAGCACAACTGTCAAATGCGATAGATACTAAGCAGCTAAAAGATCTTTTGGTAATTCCGGGATTGACAGTACATCGAGGCCCTCCTCTGGCACCACCCTTGCAAGGTGGCAGCATGAGCGGGCCTAGTCAGGTTACAGAGGCCGGGGATGCCTGGCAGCCGAGGATCCAGCAATTAGCCCTTCTGGGTAATGTGAACGTCGTCAAAGCTAAACCTGTGTTGCTTAGATTGATGAATAGTTGTTTTTTTTTAATACGGGATTACTACGGAACCCCTTAGCAAATCCTACCAACAGGCAGGAAGCATGCTGGGTACATTTGGGTACTAGTATATGGAAGATTTGCCAGGAGGGTTGAATGTCTTTTCGCTCTAATAGAGGGGGTCCCCTTTGACCCCAACATTAGCACGAAAAGGTAATTAAATGGATGCAAATGGTCTCCCAAACCACCCATTGATTTTCTTGCAAAGCATATATTTGACCAAGGGACTTTCAGGGTTGATCCCTCCCATTATATGACCTGCCGAAGGATTCGTGTTCCCTTTCATCCTTTTTCTCCTTGTGCGTGAGTGACTGAAAACAGACCACATTGTTTGTTCCATTTGCAAAGGTGCGAGTTGGACGCCAGTTGTAGGTGATTGCCCGGTTCCAAATTGCGGTTTTAATTATTTACAGCCAATGCTTTGTTATTAGAGGGTGCCCCATATACAACTGGGGAAACGAATTGACCGTTATAATGGAAGAAGCGCCACTCCGGAGGGGAACATCGAAGTTCATTGTGTTTCACACCCTTCACACCCACTGAACATGACCATGTACCGATTTTGTTGGCTGGAAAGCTGGAAAGCTGGACATGGTAAATGTTTGGGTTTTAATCGTTTTATTTCAGTGGTGCAGATGGTGCAGTTCTCATGATTTCAATTCAATGAATATCTCGCTCTCACCATCCCCCAAGTAATAGAAAAAACCCGAGAACCAATCATTGTTCGAGGCACCGTTGTCATGTTAGTTGAGGGGATCCTAAATTCACTAAAATCAGTTCTATCTCCATGGTTGAGGAAAATATGGAAAACATGTTAAAACAAACAAATTGATCCAATTTGTTGTTGAAATCATTTGATCCACAGATCGACTGCGAAAAAATGATCGCAGCCCGTCTCCATGGTGACCCCCAAGAGTCCTTGGGTTTCTCAGGCCATGCTGGCGACGTTTATGGCTGTCCCAAGGAAGTCCAGGAGATCGATTTCGCTCACTGGGTGTAGGGTCACCGCAAGGCCTAAAAAGATGGAACAGTTGGGTTACTCAATTGTTATAGCTAAACAACTTGGTATCTACATACATGTATAATCCCCGTGGCAATTTCCACTCTAGAACTGGTGAACCTGTGCATAGTTTAAACGAAATTCTTAATGTATTGGAATTTTAAAACTGATGTCAGGCTAGTCATTTTATTGTTGGGGGGTTGGGCTAAGCATTTTATTGTAAAGGTAAATCCTGATGATTTTTAACATGTTAAAATTCCATTTTCATTTTATTGCAAAAAAAATGTTTGCTTGGAGCATTTTATTGCAGAATGGAACCAGTGTTTTTCCAGGATCTTTTTATATCGATTTTATTGGGCATGTCATTTTATATCAGCGAATTTTCAGGAATTTGAAGGAATTCTAAGGATTTTTCCGGAATATTAAGGAATTTTAAAGGAATTATAAGGAATATTAAGGAATTTTAAAGGAATTATAAGGAAATTTAAGGAATTTAGAGAGTTTTAAGGAATTTTAAGGAACCTTAGGGGAATTTTAAGGAATTTAAAGGAATTTGACGAAATTTGAAGGAATTCGGAGGATTTTTAAGGATCTTTCATGTTTTTAAATTTTAAAGGATATTTAAGGATTTTTAAGGAGCTTTTTGGAATTTTAAGGAATTTTAAGGAATTGCCACGAAAGAATGCCACCGTATTTTGTTGCTATAGAATGCTATTTAAAAAAAAAAACACGCTAAATATTTGGGCACCTTCACTCTAAAATACCCCTATCTAAAATGGATTTCCTGACCTCGTTTTAAAGATGCGTTTCTGAGGGTCTTCAAAATTGGATGAAATTGGATCATGTTGGATGCATATTCAAGCATGAACTTGGTGGCAAGGCATTTTATTGCAGAGCCAGTTTTCATTGTTTTTGTGCATTTTAAAGCCTGAGGCCTATGCACAAAAGTTAGACCGCTCTAAAACTCCTGCACAGCTTCACATAATGAATTGGCACCCCGATCATGTATATATATATATATGTATGTATATGTATATGTATATGTATCTTATATATATATATATATATGTGTATATAGGTGTGTGTGCGTAATTATGTGTGTGTGTGTATAATACGTATGTGCATGTGTGTGTATATCTCGCTGTCTCATTTAAATCATTGCGTTTATATAGTTCATGGTTTGAATATCATATTAATTGTTGGTTACAACGGATTATAAACGATTTGTGTCTGGAGTATGTTTTTTGTTAATACGCATCTGGATGTATCATGATGTATCTATAGAATCCTATATGTTTAATCTACTACCGCAAGTTCAGTGGTGCCCTGGGGGTTGGACAAAAGGGACATGTTTCTCGTGGCTTTGTAGCTGTGGCAGAGCGCAGATTTCGTGTGTCAGGACTCCTCCATTATCACCCGTGAAAGAGCGTGGAGAGACTCCATATCGTGCCTTGCACGTGCTTGCACGGCTTCAGGGAGGTAAGACGATCCACGATTGGTATGTTCAAGTGCTTTTGATCAACGGAATCGGCACACACACGGCAAAAACATGCACACACACATGACATACTCAGAATATAAATATATGTATATATAAGTTTATTTATTTATTTTTATTTATTTAGTTAGTTAGTTAGTTATTTAGAATATACATGTTTGATCTAAATGATGTGCTGATGCGCATGACATACTTCCTTGATCCATATGAGGAGCTATGGATCCATATAATCCATGGATGGTTAAGATCACCTGCCGTACCTCCAACCAACATGACCATATTCCCTTGCCAAAATCTGCCTTTATTTATGGGGGCCTGGAGGACAAGTTTCCTCCAAAACTCTGATTCTCGGAGTCTATGTTAGTTGGGGCGATGGTAAAGTCCCCATGAAAGAAAGGAGCAAAAGAGTCCAGCTACCTCCATAATCACTGGATAGCCAAGGTATTGCGTGCCAATGACGTCACACAGTTGCAACCATGCGGGTTTGGCGATGGCATGGCTAGAACATGTGGTCCATCACTTCCACTTTAAGTGCCACTCTGGATGTCAGTAGCAGTAGTTGTGGCAAACGGCTAACAAAATGCAAAGAACACAATCAAACGCATATATATATATATATATATGAAACCATTTTCGTTTTTCTTTCATGATCAGAAAAAAATTGAACACAGCTGATGCTTCTGTTTAATGGTTGCCAGTAGGTGCTAAGGTCGGATAGCAAGTATCTCCTGGTGACTGTGGTTTGGCCCGTGATGAACCTTGCATGAGAATGCATCGGGGATGATAAACCAACCCAGATCATCGCGTGTGAGGACTCTAATGGTAGCTAGGAGTCATGGTGGTGCCTATTTTTTCGATGGGTGCGTCCAAGACATAAGATGAGGGATCGCCCAAATCTACTTGAGTGTTCTGGTTGAGGGCGAAGCACCAACAAATTGATTATTTTTTGGGGAGGGGGCCCCCAAATGCAAAAAAACGTAGTGAAATCAGTGCAAAGCTCTGGGACTTTGTCTTTGTCAAGTTGCAGGATCACTGTGTTGCACATGCGGTCTCCTACCAATCAGTGTGGCAATCCAAGATTTCCAAACAGGATCCAAATCTCTACTTATTGCCTGAGATGATCCCCCCAACTGTCTATATAGTTGCTGAGATTGGTTGAACAAGCGGCAAGCATGTCATGTATAATATATATATATATATGTGTGTGTGTGTGCAATTATTTATATATGTGATGTATATTTATATTTATTTAAATGCATACGCACACACATAATCATATATATATATATATATGTATCTATGTATGTATGGATCGACCCACCCCATCCCTTTGCACACAACTCGGTGAGGTTGGAGTCTCCGTGAGTAGATGTGCCAATTCAGAGCGGAAAGCACGTGACCGCATGGAAAATGCTGACCATTCAACAGGACATGGGATATCCGCAGACGTTTTCATTGTGTTTCTAGAGTATGCCAAGAATTTGTGATTTGATTGTTTTTTGGTATTTGGAATTATTACAATGGAAATCCTTCCAATTACTCATTATTCGAAAGTCTATATCAATTGGATATCTATTGGTTGTGTAGGGTGTACAGATCAGACCCGTAGTGTGGTGACTAGACGCGTTGTGCGTCACGTGCCAAGCTCACCACATTATGATTCATACTTACCTCAGCAGCTGAGGAGATTTGCCACGAGGAAGGCTGACTTGAAGCTACTTAAAAGATAAAAGACATATACGACCATATGCTGATGACATACTGTTCACAGATATACACGCATACATTCCGTGCACGCATGCATACCTGCAATAGGTAGATAGATAGACAAACAGATAGATAGACAGATAGATAGATACACATGTCTTTATATAATTATTTATAATTATATATATATATTCACATACATATTATCATATTGGGGCTCAACTGTTTCAGGGCTTCACATGATATCCAGGGTTGACCATCGGGAAAAGGAAAATGAAGGGCCAGGTTCCGGCGCTTTCAAGCTAGATCACCGGTGATACTGGTAAATATGAAATTCTATGGTTTATACAGTTTATACCTACTCTGTTTGGACATTGTGGAAAGTTACCCGCATGCTGGTGCTGGTTTCTTTGAGCGCAAGGGCGACTTTTCAAGTTGCCAGAAGGCAGATCAATATGGTGATATCCGAGGGAACCAACAAAGATCTTCGGTATTTTAAACATGTATTTAACTCTATGTGTATATATATATAGATATGTGTGTGTGTGTTTTTCCAGAAACTGGACAGAAGATTCCCTGTCATTTCTGGGATGGGCTGGGAACATTCTAACCAACAATATGTTCTTGCATCCTTCCTTTGGCGCGTCACCTAAATTCGCGAGTCCAAAACGCGGTGTTCGTCGTGTTTCACCAAGAATTGACCCAAGATCCTCCTGTACAGGCGACCACTTTCCTCGTGGACATCCAAAATGACCGGACTGATGCCCCGGATTAATACCCGCCGTGGGATGTTGGTATGGATACCATTGTATTTGTTTAGCAGGTTATCAATACTTGTTTTTCGCCTAAAGGGTGGTACCACCCAATTAATCAAGCCACCAATCATGAGAGTTATTGAAAGTTCTTTCTTCTTGCAGAGTGGATTTCAGGTGGCCAAGCAGGATTTTCCACTGGTTCTGTGTTGTGTGGTTGTTGTCATCGATGTGTTCCCCTGGGGAAACTGCGCATTGGATCTCCAAGGACCTGAATTCGGGGATCAGCAGTGCAGCATGGGCATCAAAGGTTTTGGGTTTTCAACCAGCTCTTTAGCATTCCTCCCCGTCAATGAGACTGAATCAGCCACGTTTCAGTGTGTGAATGATATTGCACGAACATGTACCGTTCCTTTTGAATCACCCACTATATACGCATAGATTTGCATGATAATTCATCATCAACCCAGGGCGAGCACGCGACCTACGAAACTATGATGAGATATTGATCGTTTCAGTTTCAGAGATGGGCCATCTCAGAGATGGGTGCAATTTGAATCAACGTCCCCATAATTTCCCCATCCCAGCCGGATGATTGAACCCAACTGACTTTCATCTCTTTTGTCCCTTTTCTCCGGTTGCAACATCCGCAACATCCAACGGCCATCCAAGGGCCGGGCGTCAGATCGTGCACGTCTCCGCAGTGGATGTGGCCTGCCATGTTGCTGCGGGGGGCATCGGGAGGCTAATTCACTCAGAAACTACGGGGAAAAACTGCTGATAAACAGTGATAAAATGAGGATATCATGGGGGTATAGTGGATAATATGGGATGATAATACAACTAACCAACGATCAAACATGGCTATATACCCGAACTAGTGCCCATATATGTAGATGTAGGTTGCATGGGAAATCATAGAACTAAGTGGGGGGACGTTCCATTGACATGTTTCATTACCAAAGGGTGCTTCTATGAGAGGAAAGTTAAAGAGGTTAAATTACGTAAAGTGAGGGTTTATATAGTTTTACTATGTTCAAATGGCTTCAAACTATTGGAACTTCGGAACATGTAAATTTCTGTGGGCTGATTTATGTAAAATGCTCTGCAAAATCATGACTTTGCCATGTAAGTTTTGACACCTCTTGTGCTACAAATGCGTCAATCATGTCACCTGGAGTGAGGTGAGAAACTGGGAACGGGTGCCATTTGGCCCAGCCACTTTGCACCACTTTGCCACTTAAAAAACATTTTTGTTTATTATTAATTAATACTATATATATATACACATAATTTTTGTTTTGTTTAGGTTTTGTTTGGTCCTGATGGTAAAATGCCAGGTGTGTGATGGGTAGGACCAAGAATAAGCCTACAACTTTGAATGGTATATGCTACTGTACCCAGTTCTGATCAAATTGGGAATGGTTTATACGGTTTATACTGTTTATACCCTCCGGGAATCAAACATGGCTGGCTGCACAATCCCTTGTTTTTAAATGAGTTTCCCATAAAAAAAAACGACATTGACAGAGGATTTTCCATATTATTTTCCCATGATTTTCCCAGCTATAAACTTCCATTTTTCATGGGGAATGTTGCCATTAAAACCCTTATTTGTGGTGGATTCCCCAATGATTTCCCATGATTTCCCCATATTACCATCTGGTTATTTAACATAGCCATGGAAAATCACAATTTTTATCCATTTTTAATAGGTACACCTCTATAAATGGCATTGGCCATTTCCCATGGCTATGTTAAATAGCCAGAGGGTAATGGGGAATTTCCCAGTGCGGGTCACTTTCCAAGGCGCGCCGCAGCGATGAAGACCTGCGCCGCGGCATTTTCACGCACGTCTGGGGGCCTACAGTACCGAGCTCTGGTAATGACCAGAAATGGACTAGGGGAGTTATTGGTTCAATATGGCTCAACGAGAATTTACCCTTTGGTAAACATACAAAAAGCTATTGAAAATTGTCATTTATAGTGGATTTTCCCATTAAAAATTGTGATTTTCCATAGTTATGTTAGTTTACCAGAGGATAAAGGGATTTATATAATGGGATTTAAATGGAATTGATTAGGATTTCAAGGGGTAATAATGGGATATATAAATTAACATCGACCCTGAAAATCACCAATTTTAGTGCATGGAAACAAGTATCTTCCAACCCTATGTGGCAGGATCTACGTTAACTGAAGGGCAAATGGGGATGTGTATTATCAATACCTTTGGATCCCTCTGGTAAACTAAAAGTCTGCTCTGGAACATCACCATTTCTAATAGGTAAGTCAACTAAGTCAACTTTCCATGGGCTTTTCAATATAGCTATGTTGAATTACGAGAGGCTACCTCGGGTACTCAAAACGTGGTTTGCTGGAAAATCTGCCATTGAAAGACGACGTAGATGAGTTCCCAAGGAAGTAAATCTCCAGTGGCCATGTTTGATTACTGGAGGGTGGCTAACCTCATCAAAATTTGCCGAGTTTGTTGTTTTCATTATTCGGAGATGTCAGCCCGTTTGCGGTTTTCCTTGGATTCAAGCTTGTGAGCACAACCCCTGTAGAATCACAATGTCAGATGAATCGCGGTGTTCGGGTCTTGATACCATATCAAAAAGCCTGGCTTTGCCTGTGCTTGAGGCTTTGCTGCTGGCCATTGACAAGCTGTGCCAACCCTCAGCTACTGCTCTGGGCAAGAAGGATTTCGGAGATGCACTCAGAAATGGTTATATAGTATGATTTTGTTGTCTTGAAATACTTGAAACTCTCATTTGAGGATATTTGAGGTCATTTGGGGCAAGATGGCCTGTGAAGTCCATTTCCCTTAGCATGTGAAACAGTTGGATAGCAACAGGCCGGATTGGTGAGTGACTACAATCCAGACAACACTCCTCAAGATTGAGGATTCAGGTCTATTGCATATCTAAAATAGCATTCTTTGGTCACAGATTTGTTTGAGCTGATATCGTTATTGTTGTTCTGATTCTCATTATTAT